TCTTTTATTTATTTGTCATTTCCTCCTTGGCAGAGAATGTAAAGTTTTGGGGGAAATTATATCGTTATTTCTCAAGACAAATGACCTTATGTTCAAGTCAGACTGTTGGAGGAAGACAGAAAACACTAGCACAACTACAGTAGCAATACTTCCTGACACTGCAATTCTTCCTGGTTCATAGACTTCAGCCGGGCAGCCACAGAAGGGAAATAATTCAATATTGGTTCCCAGACAGGCAGCAACAGCAAATGGTGCTGATAGAAATCATTAAAAGGAAGAGGATGAGCCCCCTCAGGCTGTAGCAGGATGTCAGAAAATGCAATACAGCCCTAGCCAGTTTGGCTCAGTGGATAGAGCATCGGCCTGTGGACTGAAGGTTCCCGGGTTGGATTCCGCCAAAGGGCACATCCCCGGTTTGCGGGGGGGGGGGGGGGGGGGGCGCGGGGAACTTGCACTTAAAACAATGTTTTCTGTACATTACCTCATTATTCCTTCTTATAGTTTAATGAAGTGAGGATTATTTTTATCTTTAATGGACAAATGAGGAAGTACAGCTACCCAGTGGGGGAGCATTGGCCAGAAATGATGAGATTTGAGACAAGACCTGCACTCATCACCACTCCCATCCCGATGGGTCATCTATTCACAGCTGATCAATATTCACCCAGAGCTTTCACTACCCGGAGCTTTCACTGTGAAACACCTGGACTGGCCAGAAACTGGGGAACTCAGGAGGATGGGCACTAGTGTGGGTTTGGAGCCACAAATGATTGCTTTGGGGACAGGCAGGAGGATGCATGAGAAGATCATGGGCCATTAATGTTGATGTGAAGGAAGGAAGGAAGACATGAACGGGATTAGAACATGTGGGAGACTTAAAATACAACAGAGGAGAAAAGGTGGGATGCAAAGCAAAACTAAACAAGCCTCTGCACCGAATAGAGAGTGATGACTGAGAGAAAGCAAGGAAATATTTCCTTAAAGCCATCAAGAAGGAAGAAATGAGAAAACAAAATGTCAGGCCAGGCACTGCTGAGACGGAGGAGCGGCCCATGGACATCACCACAAAATCCCCTCTCACTATGCTGAGGGTGTCAAGCCTTGAATTCTGATGCTGTGGCTGATTGAGAGTGATGGAGAAATCCTCAGGGAGATCCCCTCAGAATTTCCTCCACTTAGCAAAGTCACTTCAAAATTAAAATCTAACCCTAACTGAATGGGCAAAACTCAGGGTCAACCTTTGGCAGTTGATGAAAACAGATAAACAAGTTACAGACAATTCCTCAAGTATGTAGCTCTTCCTTGGTACAGGGGTCCTTAATTGGAGTCCACAGATCCTCATAATTTCTGTGGAAAGATTTTAGGAAGCACAGGAACTTAAATAAGGTTGAGAAACTTATGTCTTCATTTTCACTCACCTCCACCTGAAAATAACCATTTTCTTTTATTGTGAATTTAGGCCGGAAATCACAGGAGCGATTTCCATAGGATCTGTGACTTGGGCACCAATAGATACTCATCCAGCTTGATGATCAGCTGTCAGTAGTCAGCAGTTCTATTTCCCATTTCAACTAAAAGGAATTTTAGGCTCATTCTAGTCTTGTTGAGCAAAGGCAAGGGTAGATAGCTCTAAAACTGCACTTCTTCAACTTGAATGTGTAACAGGTCACCTGGGACTCCTTTTAAAATGCAAATTGTGATTTAGCAGGTGGGGCCACCTGAGTGGGGGAGAATTCACTTGAAGGAACCAGACTGCAGAGCTATTTGGATATAGAATTTTAAAGATGAAGATCCTTATGTGGGCATGTATAAAAGAATCCTTTGAAGGTATAGTCTATGTCACTTGGTGTGCATTTTACATCTCCCTGATAATATGAACAATTACTTTAAAAAGTCCCCTGGTGTTTATCAGTGTATACAGTTAGACAAACTGTTCTCACAAGTGTATTTTCATATCAATTTGTTGAGACCTCTATTATTTCATTTATTCACCTGGTAATATAACTGTTTGTAATATATGTTCTCTCAGTGTGTGGTGACCACGTCTACATCTTTATCTCCAGTGTCTACCAGAGCATTTTGTAAACATTTACTTTTTTATGAATATTTAGCAGGTAGCTTACCGATGCCATGGTTTCTTTCTAGATCCTTGAACTGTGGGTGCTGGCATTTGAAAAGCCTTAACAAAGATACATGTGTATTTAATTCCCAAAGCAATTTTGGAAGATAAAATATCTTGTTTTAATTTTTCTCATCACCCAAATACTCCTTTTTACCTGGGGCCTACTGACTTTTTAATTACACTTCCATTTGTCTAATTTAGCCTAAAAGGCCTATTCATAATTCAGAACCACAACCAAAGATAGAACCGACAGTTCTGCGTGCCTTTCACTAAAAAGATTTTCCAGCAGAAATGGAGTTGACCGAAAGTTCTGATACACACATCAGCTTGAAGGCATGACGTGTATATTGCGGATGCTCCCCAATAGCTCTCAAATAAACTTTGGTTCTAAATCCACGGTCTTTGAGCCGAACCCTCTTAACAAAGGCCCATATGTGTGTGTCCAAAGCCCCACAGTGTTTGGGGCTTTATTTGAGCTCCAAATCCACAATTTAAAAACCATTGAACTGTATACTTTAAATGAGTGAATTGCATGGTATGTGAAATAAATCTGTTAAATAAAAAAGAGAGCCCTGGCCAGTGGGCTTAGTTGGTTGGGTGTCATCCATGCATTGAAAGGTTGCCAGTTTGATTCCCGTTCAGGTCACATGCCCAGGTTGCAGCTCAATCCCTTCAATGGGGCATGCAGGAGGCAGCCAATCAATGTTTTGCTCTTACATCAATATTTCTCTCTCTCTCCCTCTCTGCTCCTCTCTCTCTAAAAATAAAATATAAAATATCTTTTTAAAAGAAGAGAAAAAGAGAGAGAGTAGCACAGTATCCAATCATCCTAATGAAGGAGTTGGCTGTGTACTCACAAGTCGATACATAGATTTGAGGTCATTATCATAACGTTGGCTTGGCATCTGAATTAGTGGAGGCACCTACACTATGGTTTAAAGCAGGAGTTCTAGTCTAGAGTCAGCAGATCAAGGTTCAAATCCCAACTGCACCACTTTCTGGTTGTGAAACCTTGGGAAAGTCACTACATTCTCGGTAAGATTTTTAATCTGCTAAATGGGCTTACAACAGTACCAAAACCCAGTGGTTACAATGAGGGTTAAATTGGGCAGTTCCTGTAAATGGCTTAGCACAGTGCATAGCCCCATGGTGGGTGCTCAATACACAGTAATTACGTTATTACTATTTTCTGGAGTACTTGGGATGCTGCGCTAGAGAAAGCCAGATGGTAATGTTTGCAGTGGGTCCCAAAGCCATTATCTCCCATTAAACTTCACTTTGACTTTCTCGGGTTTTGTCCCGGGCAATCCCTTCCCTACATCAAACTCAACTGCTACACCACCGTTCAGGTCTTAGTTTAACGGTTCATAAACAAGGGGGCCCATCAAAATCATGTGGAGCTCATAAAAGATAAATCCTGTGTCTCCAAGTGTGGTCCCTAGACCAGGAGTGTCAGCATCAGAGGCCCTTTGAGAGTTCCAATCTGTGGAATTGGGAACTCAGGCTGGGACCCAGTGATCTGCTCTAACAAGCCCTCTAGGTCCGTGGTTGGCAAACCGCAGCTCGCAAGCCACATGCGGCTCTTTGGCCCCTTCAGCATGGCTCTTCCACAAAATACCACGTGTGGGCGTGCACGTGCAGTGCGATTGAAACTTCATGGCCCATGCGCAGAAGTCGGTATTTTGTGGAAGAGCCACACTCAAGGGGCCAAAGAGCTGCATGTGGCTCACAAGCCGCAGTTTGCCGAGCTGCAGTTTGCCGACCACTGCTCTAGGTAATTCTGACGCAGGCTGAAGTTGACAACAATTGACCAAGTGGAATCTGATTTTGATTAGCTCCTCCTGTGATTTAGACCGACTCACTGGCATATTGCCATTGGGAATCAGTAATAGAACAACAGAATTGCACTTTATCCTGGCTACACCGCCCATGGATAGTCAACCTGCCAGCAGAAACTGCCTCAGAACTCTCTTACACGGACCCACCTTCAACAAGGAAATGGACAGGTCATACAAACACCTCTCAGAACCCATTCCTCCGGGGACACTAATTTCTATGAAGCTAACTCATTTGTTTTGTTTGGGGCACAAGCTTGTTTTCAAGGCTAGTTTATTGATTAATTCATTTAATTTACCTATCACCAAATATTTTTCATGTCCCTACTATGTGTCAAGGCAACAACAACAATGGAGGAAATGTCACAATTCACGAGAAAACATTTTGGAAGATAAAACTGATCATTAACAGAGATGATGGCATTTTATTTCATTGGGAGACTGAGGAATTGGGTAAACAGCACTCCATGCTTACCATTTAGTAGGCTGTATAATTGTTTTTAGTTCTTGAGAAACCCAGAGATACAATAAAAGTGAACATTTATTAGCAGCATGGTCTTAATCTTTTTAAAGTGTTTTCCAGTTCCTTGTGAGATTTCAAAACTCTCAAAAAAATATTATAACCCCCAAATAAGTCAGTGAAAATAAAAGCAATAAAACATAGCCTCATTCGGGAGCAGAGAGGAGCTTGGTAAAGATGCTGGAAGAAGGGAATTATAAAATATTAGTGTGGAGGACACTAGACATGTCCAGTTCTAAGAAATGATGATTTTCAGCTTTAAAAAACCCATGTTCTGGGTTTTTATTGTGTTTGTAAGTTAATCATGTGTTAAATCATCTGTCATAATATGGATCTGAAAAACATATCTTACCTCTCTCTATAACCTGGCATCAAAATAATATTATTGGGGAAGGAAGCAGCAGGAAGGCGCAGCCACATCTGCCACAGTCTAACTTTAATTTATTCAAAGTTTTCATCAAAAGTTTTCTATAGAAAATAGGGTTCCAGCCATACAAACATAAACCATGTTTCTTGGGCTTACCAGTTTAATATGTTCTCGCTTCTGGTATTTTTCACTATAATACTGTTCTTGTCGAAGATTAAGCAGTTGCTGTTGTTGCTTGTCCTTCAAGTCTATTAACTTCTGGGTCATTTCGGCATCCAGGGCAGCCAGATCTTGCTCAATGGTTGATGAGCCGTGGTCAGGGCTGCTGGGTTCCGATCTGCGGAGAAACAGAGCTTAACTCACAAAATATGCAGGTCACAGTACGATGGAGGGTAGGTGGTTCACCAGGGTTCCTCCTACAGAGAGCACTGTGTTTGGAAATAAATATTTCGATAATCCACCTCAAGTACAGGCTGAAGTGCCGAGGACAAGACATTTGTGACCACTCAATATGTGCCAGGCACTTTCTACACTACAAAAGGCTTTCACAACAATGCAACGAGAATGACTATCTCCAGTTAACATCTGAGGAAGCCAAGGTTCACTGAGACACTGTGCCTAAGGATACCACGAGGGGAGGATACTGCAATGCTGCTCATCTGAGGACAGACACCTGGGGGAAAGCAAGGTCTTAAGTACAGCAAAGAACCCTGGTTGGTTGCTCAGTGGTTAGAGCATTGGCCCTTAGACCAAAGGGTCATGGGTTTGATTCCAGGTCAAGAGCATGTACCTCATTTGCAGGTTCGATCCCTGGCCCCAGTTGGGGAGGAAACCAATCAGTGTCTCTCTCTCACATCAATTTTTTTTCTCTCTCTCTTTCTCCCTTCTACTCTCTAAATATCAATAGAAATAATATCCTCAGGTGAGGCTTATAAAAAACAGACAATTACAGCACAGAATCATGCATGCCAGTATCTGGACAGAAACTACCCTTATATGATCTGCTCGACACATTATGTGGAAAGCTCAGTTGAGATGATGGATATATGAATAAAAAAAAATCTAACGAACATTACATCCATTCATTGCTGAGTTATTTTCAGAAGTTTAAGGTGTATGAAGGAGGCTGGGAGGTGGCAGACATGATCAGGCCTCAGTGGCTTTGCCTTTTATAGGAGCTTTCCTGACTGTGTCCTTTGATGCTAGATGCTTAGGGACTTCCATCTGTGTGTTGAGGGAAAGTATTAGAAAATAAACAAGGGAACAAGGTTTCTGCATCTTTTGTAAAAGCAGAGTTGAAAATATCCCCCGTTGCCTAATGTTGCCTGTTTAAGATCCATGAGATGAATTCTTCTATAATTTAATACCAGGAAAATGTTTGTCTCTCTTGGAAAAGCAAGCAAGTTTCCTTTAATCAGATGAGGAGAACTGTCTAACCCATATTTCCTTTTCTCAGAAGCTAAGAGCTATATTCAATGTTTAAGGACTGAAATTGCATTAAATGGTTGGTGCTATCCAGTAGAAATACAACATGAGCCACAGTTCAATTTTTTTCTACATATGTGATCTAAAAATTTTAGTAGCTACCTTAAAGAGTAAAAAGAAATGAGTGAAATTAATTTTAATAATATATTTTATATAACCTAATACATCCCCAATATTAGCACTTCAACATGCAATTAAAAGAAAATCAATGTGGTAGGTTCATATAAAAATGAGTTATTTCATATTCTTTTCTTTTTAAATAAAGTCTTTGAAATCTGGTATTTATATTATACTTACAGCACATTTCAAATTCTATGAGCTGCTTTCCAAGGGCTCAATAGCCACTTGTAGCTAATGACTCCCGAGTTGGACAGCAGACCTAAAAAACTGGTAACCACTCAGTCTGTGTGTATGTATGTGTGTATGTTGTTTTTCTTTCTCTGCTTTTTGTAAGATTTTTACACACGTCTTCTGTAAATAACGTCAACGCTCTATTGGAAGTTTGCAGAATAAGACATAAGTAAATAAATATGTGAATAAATAAATGACTACATACATATCACTAAAATAGGAATTTAGGAGAAGTTTTAGGCCAAGCTTTACTAGAACTGTTTATGTAACTGCAGGTAAATGTTAATGCCATTAGCTTTCAGCTTCTTCCTTGAAGAAGTGACAAAAGTGAGGCAGCTCTGGTTCTAAGAAATAAAGGTTTTGCTGCTTTTTAAAACCCTAGTACTGGGTTTTGATTGTGCTTTTAAGTTAATCACATGTTAAATCTTGTTTTCACAATATGGATCCGAAAAAGGCACCTTACCTCTCTCAATAACCTGGCATCAAGATAAGATTACTCAGTAAAGAAGTGGAAGGGAGGATGTAGTACAGCCCTCCAACTCTCGCCGACAGGTAACTTACATGCTCACATGGTTCCCACATGACCACATCAGTGTCATGTGCGTGAGAATTATGTAGGTCATGTTAACTGCTGTGTCCTCCAGGCATACAGTTGGTGCTCAATAAACACCGGTTGAATAAATGTGTGAGAGATGCCTCTCCACGTCAAGTCTGGGTGCATGGAGCCGTGGGGACCCCTGGATCCAAACACTAGGGTTACCTGTGCAGGGCTTTGTGGGTTAACGATGGGGCAGCAAAGAACAAGTGAAACTTTTTTCTGTATGACAAACTGTCTCTTCAACTAGGGCAGTGATGGCGAACCTATGACACGTGTGTCAGAGGTGACACGAGAACTCATTTTTTTGGTTGATTTTTCTTTGTTAAATGGCATTTAAATATATAAAACAAATATCAAAAATATAAATCTTTGTTTTACTATGGTTGCAAATATCAAAAAATTTCTATATGTGACACGGCACCAGAGTTAAGTTAGGGTTTTTCAAAATGCTGACACGCCGAGCTCAAAAGGTCCGCCATCACTGAACTAGGGTCTAGGTACATGGAAAAATTTCATACCCACTAGGTTGGCCGCTGTATTATGGGAAGTCAGCCAGTTGATATTGGGCTCATAGGCTAGGACTCATGGATAGGACTCCCTGCATATCTATTCTCAGAATTTAGTCACATCAAGAAATTCAATCCACAAGCAAAACTGAGCTGAGGTGACAGAAAAGATACATAATGGAAGGAATGGGTGGCTTTCCATCTTGCAGTGGTTGAGGTGCAAAATACAGTACAAAACAGGAAAAAAATCCACGTAAATGTCTCTCTTCCTCATGCCATCAAACAAATCATACTCATTCAACTTACTTTTTCTTACTATCCTTCCTGGCTGTCTTTTCCAAAGCCGCTCTCCTTCTCAGGTAGTCATTCTGAATTTCATTATACTTTGTAGTGTGCTCCTTGATAAGGTCCGTGGTTTTCTTGTGGTGTCTCTTAACCAGCTCTTTCATTTCTTTGTAGTGCTTCTTTTGAAGTTTTACAAACGACTTCTGTTGCTTTAGCTCTTCAATAGTCTGCGCTTCCACTTCTGCAACGAAAGATCAGAAAAGCTAACAGACATGGAAGGACTGAAAAGACAGACGTAGAGAGGAGTAGCAACTTGTGTGTCTGATCCTAGCCAACCCGAGCTTAAGAGCAGAGCTTTGATGTCGAGCTTAAGTGGATTTCAGGGTGGCTCCATCACTTGCTAACTTTGTGTCAATGTTACCAAATTTCTCAAAGACTCAATTTATTCACTTCTAACATTTTTTTAAAGTCTGGGCTCCCTAGAAACAGACCCTAAGAGGAGCAAGCCGGTGCATGTGATTCCCAGAGGCAGGCTCTCAGGAGGAGGGGAGTGAGGGCAGCAGATAGGGAAGGGGAAGCAGTTAAAGGTGATGTGGGCGATGGAGGCTGGCTCCTGCCTGACCCAACTGGGCACTCTGGAGTGTGAATTGTACCACGGAGTCAGCCTCACCTTGAGGCAAGGGGGTCAGCATTTTGCATATTTGGGATAGTCCGTGGGGAGAGGCAGAGCCTACTAGAGCGGAAGCTTCCTTTTGGCTGAGGGCAATTTTCAAGAGCAGGGAAAGCTCTGAGCTGTTGTCAGCCATCGCTCACTGCAGCTTGAGGATGGGTCCGCCGGCCGGTAAAGGGGATCTGTGCGGGACACCAATAGCATCCGCCTTAAGGATCACAAGGCTTCCCTACTTTTCAGGATTATTGTGCTGGTGAAATAGAAGAATTGCTGCCAAGCGTTTAGCACAGTTTCTGGCAGTGTGCCTGTAGACGCTTCACTAATGATTGTTCAGGTTCTAGAGCACCCTCTGTAAAAGGCACTATCCACAGTATAGACGTGGTAGGCCTGTACATTTATCAGTGTTCCAGTATAAAGCAATGAAGTGAAGGAAAGCCCATTAATGTGCTTTTCCCAGTGGCACCATTACATGGCTACATATTTTATCCACTGCTGGGAATTCATTTACTGTGAAAGAACTTGACCTTAAGACATTCTGAATTTCATTGACATATCTGGTCAACTCTAGAAAATGCATTTAAAAATATGTTAACATTTCTGAAATTAAGATGGATCTTATAGTCAACGGAGTATAACAGTGTGCCAGCAATTTTTATCTCAGCCATCCATGAATAGTGGGTGCCTTAACGTTGACGATGTCCTAACTGCAATGAATTGCCATCTATTTGGACCTAGATTAAGTCATAGTTCACGTGTTTCCATGCTTTCTTTGATTTGAACTTTCTGCTTCTGAGAGGGGAAAAAAAGTTATCATAAATATTTAGAACTGTCAAAAGATTCAGAAATAGCATACCTATGCCATGAATAACAACAGACCTGAGTAGAAGATGAGATAGCTAGTGAATTAATGTTGAAATCAGAATACAAATTATGTTCCTAAATGCTGAGGTCTTTAAGCAATTGAAATATGCTTCCCTTTCTTATAATGTGTCTAGTCTCCTGACATTAGATTTCTTTGGATAAAGAGGCTAGTGAGAAAATCAGGTACATTTATTTAATGGTTTCCCTCAGGCCCAAATTGACTCATTAGGATTGCATAGTAACTTATTATATTAATAATTTATAGTCCCAAGGAATTGCTGCATTTTTGGTGACAGATTCAATCCCATTTCTTTAAGAACAGTGTGCAGCACATCAGCTATGGCAAGTAGCAACAGGGTTCAAGATGTTCCAACCTGTGTTTAAAAAAATTCCAGAGAAAATACTTAAAAAAAAGTCTGTGTATGAAAGGTTATAATTTGAATATGCTCTTAAGCATACAGATAATGTTCATTTATATAAAGAGTCAAATATCACTCATAAACAAGCCATCCAGAGATAATCACTGTTAGTTTATTGTACAGACCCTTGGCCTTTCTTCTATGCATTTATTTTTAAATAACACTGGAATCATGCTCTATTTACACTTCTGTCTCTTGTTGTATGTGTCAACGTGTTACCCAGGGAACTAAATCTTTAAAACATGTTTTTAAAAATACATTGTTGCCTGACTAGCGTGGCTCAGTGGTTCAGCATCAACCTATGAACCAGGAGGTCTCGGTTCCATTCCCAATCAGGGCACATGCCCTGGTTGTGGGCTCCATCCCCACTAGGGGTGTGGAGGAGTAGGTAGCTGATCAATGATTCTCTTTCATTATTGATGTTCCTATCTCTCTCTCCCTCTCCCTTCCTCTCTGAAGTAAATAAACATATATATTTTTTAAAAAATTCTTGAAGTAATTTTTTCTATGACTATTTTATGTATTATTTTGGTGAAACATAAATACATGCCTAAAAATATATAAATCGTAAAGATAAAGGCCTATACACTTTCACAAAGTGAGCATACTTCAACAACCATTACTCAGAACAGCATAAGAATATCATCAGATGCCAGAGGCCCTCTTTTTGGTTCCTTCTCCCCATCAAATATAATCCAATCCGTGTTTCCAACAGCATGAGTTAGTTTTGCTTGTTTTTGAACTTTATGTAGATGGAATCATAAAGAATGTGCTCATTCGTGTCTGGCCTCTTTTCTTCAACACAGTCCTTGTGAATTTTATGCATGTTGTGTGTGACTGTGGTTTATTTATTCCGAGAGTTGTAGCCAGGTTTAGTCTGTGACTGTAACACAATGTGTGGATCCACCCGGCTATTTACTGACATTGGGCTATATCCAGTTTGGGGCTTTTCCCAAGAGTGCTGTTTTTGGTGAGCATTTCTGTTGTATATTAGGCCGAGTATCAAACATTTTTCAGATTTTATTAAGTATGGCTAACTGTATTAAAGAAAGCTTGTGCCAATTCTAGTCCCACTAGTTTATGAAATTAACCAAATATAAAATATTTCCCAACTGAATCACAGTCCTCCAATACTGTGTATTCTGTGGTCACCAATGGATCATATTCTGTATTTCTAAACGATGGTTTACTGTTGTTACTTTGGGAGGATATGCCTTCCTATTAGCTGGGCCACATTTCCAGGGTGAAACAATTTTTAGATTCTAAAATGGATATCTTGTGAAATTATATTATTTTTATATCAATAGGATCCTATCGTCCAAGGATGGTCACTTTTCTGTGACCATAATTTTATGGTTGGGTCACAACATGAGGAACTGTATTTAAAGGGCCAGAAGGTTGAGAACCAGTGCTCTAAGTACTTACACTCTATAATATTCAGCTGCCTAATCCCTCCGGGGAAAGGGTGGTATTTACCTGTTAAAACGCTATGAATAAGATCTTCTGTTTTCGCAGGTGCCTTTCCAGGGCCTGAAATAAAAAGATAAAATAAATAGGCATTTTTAACTTTTTACATTTTATTCTTCTTATAAAACAACGATTGGCCCTTGAGACTAAATCTCTTTGTGGAGAAATTACAAATTTGGGGAGAAAATTATTCCAAAAACTTGTAAGAAATGTTCTCCTTTTGTTCCTTTGAGGCAAACATAATTAAATGTGAATCTATATGTTCCATTTATAGAGAAAAAGTATATCCCCCACTTGAAATAAAAACCAGCAACAAATTCAATTTAGGCAATGCTACTGCCACCTTTTGGCAAAATCAAGAATGACAAGGGGTCTTTTAAAAATCAAAGGCTGCCAAGTTGACACTAATCATTGTTGCAGACAAGTTCTATTGGTGGATGCCAAGATCACTGGGTAAATGTTTAAGGAGAAACAGGATAGCTGCATCATCTAAAAATATCTCCCCCAATATAGCAGTTAACTATGAAGGAGAAAACCATAACTTTCAGTGGAGAAACCTGGTAGTCATCACCTTAACCAAGTGCTCCAACACCACCAGTGAGGAGACACATCAATACCAGGTTCCCCCGACATGCTGCACTGAGAAGGGAGTGACATCACGTCTGTGATGTCCTTGCCAAACATGTAGTACTTCAACCTAATCATGAGAAAACATCAGGCTGGTCCAAATGGAGGGCTATTCTGCAAAATACCTGACCAGTACTCTTCAACAGTGTCAAGGTCATGAAAGACAGGACAGACTGAGGGACCGTCATAGGTTAAAGGAAAATAAGGAGACATGACCATTAAACACAGTGTGGGATCCTGAGTTGGAACCTGGGATGGTAATATAAAGACATCAGTGGGAAGCGGGTGAAGTTCAGACAAGGTCTATCGTTCAGTTCAGGGTGCTGAGCCAAGGTTGATTTCCTGGCCTGGGAGTCATACTATGATTCTGACAGATGTTAACATCAGAGAAGTGCAAATCATTTTTGTAATGCTGTCTGTTCCATTGAAAAAAAATTATTCTGTATGTCAATTTTTTTCAAAATATGAAATCAACCCCCCCACCCAAAAAAAATAGTCTAAATGCTCTTCTACTATCAAAAGCAAAGCACAACTGGGGAGTAGGGGAGGACAGGGGAAGGTCAAGGGAGAAAAGAGAAAAAAAGAGACATATGTAATACTCTTTGTAATACTTTAAGCAATAAAACAAAATTTAAAAAAAGCAAAGCACAAGGTTATTATCACTCACATATTTAAATGACTTATTTATATTCCAGAAGCACTCAAAAGTTTGTATTTACCATATAAAAATCTTCATTTGAAAATATCACTTCTTGTTCCTGACCAAGTCGTCTCACTGTTACTGATCTCAACAACCTTCTTGAAAGCATAGGCCCCAGTCATATCTCATACACATCTAATATGATTTGTTCTTTTCAAAACCTCATTCTCCCCCATGAGAAATACTCCTCCCCTCCCAAATAAAGAGTCTGGGCGCATTGGTGGCATGCACTGGCATGAGGAGGAAGGGAGGAGGCATGAGGCCACACTTTCATGGAAGAAAATCCCTCTCCCTTTATTCAGTTTATTGACCAATTCAACAAAAAGTTATTAAGTACATGCTATTCCCAGGCTCTTTGCAAAGGAAACATCAAACTGAAGCCTAACCTGGGAACCCTACCATATCCTGGGGAAATAGGACATGTGTACCACTGTAGTTGCCTAAAGCAGTCTCAGACAACACGTCAAAGTTAGTTGCATAAAAATCAAAGGATTTTCCTGAGAAGTGAGACATGAGTGTAGCTTTGGTAGGAGCACAGAAGTTGAAAGCAAGTATTTTAGGATCATAGGGGACTGTGCCATTCCGGACATCACCCTTCCCTGGCTATATGACCTTCGAGAAGCACCTTGTCACCCCAGAACTGCAGTTTTAGTCACTCAGACAATAGGGCAATCATGGAATCTACATTGCTAGGCAGAGACTAAGAGTTCAATGAGATAATCCACATGAAGGGTGTAGCAGAGTGCTGGGCACCTGAGGAGCGCTCAAGGTTATTGAAAAGTAAGTTGGAGCCTTGACTTGGTGAGGAAGAGCTAAGAATGAGCTTCTAAAGCATAGCTGCTTACAAGAAGTTTGTAAAACAGCCACTTTTAACTTTATGCATTTTATTCTTCCTGTAAAACAACCTTTGGCCCTTGAGTCTAAATCTGTTTAGACTGCCAGCAGACATAATCCACCACTAAATAAAGACACCAGAAACCTGGGTGATATTTTGTTGTGGCTTCATAAGTCATCAGCAGAGCCAGATAAGCACTTAGGTGTCTTTCTTGGCATTTACTCACTCATTCATTCATTCATTACTTCATTTGTTCACTCATTTATTCATTCATTCACTCATTCATTCATTCCTTTATCACACATTTCTGGATCCTTCTAAGTCCATGTGCCCTTGCTCACATGATACTGTAGGTAACTGCATCATGCTATCTCCTTTGTGGCACGAACAAACGAGAGGCTCTTTGTCAAGTTTTACAGCTCTCTTTTCTGAGGTTTTACCTGGAGCAGGTTGGCTGTGGATGGCCTGGGAGGGAGGTTTGGGTGCCAGGGATGTAGTGTGATTTACTCCATTTTCTGCTGGAGTCGTCCCGGCTTCACTCAGAGCTTCTGACGATGTTTCCCCAGGATCAGGCTAAAATGGTAAACATCCTTTCATTTCCCATATTTCTTACTGTTTTGTTATTACTTTCTTAAACTATTTGATAGCATTGTATTTGAGCTGAAATTAAAAAAAGAAATTCCTTGTCTCACTTCAAGGAATCAGTGGAAGTCAGTTCTTGTGACTTTATTTCTCCCTAGCCTTTTTCCCAAATATTCTTTCTTATGAGTTGAGTAAAATAAGCACGAAATCCTTTCACATAACACTGGAAATTATGACAGAAACCAAAGAACTAGAAATGTCAATTTTATCAATTTAATGGAGAGACTCTTAGGATCCAAGTAAACAAATTTCTAGGAAAGAAAGTTCAGAAGCTAGTATTTCAGTTGCACTGAATTTGGCTTAGACAAGTAGAGAAAAATGTGCAAAATTAACTACAGCAGAAGTGGGCTCCTGCCCTCTAGTGGCCAACCCAAAGTATTACAACATTTTTCTTCACAAGTAGACTTTTTTAAACCAAAATTTTATTTTAAAGTAATATTTATATTATTCCTATTTAAAAATTGAACAGAAGTGACTTCAAAATATGTTGTAAGTGTAATAATAAAAGGATAACTGGAAAGGCCATTTTCACAAGTTTTACAGAGGAAGAGTTGCTATTTGAAATGCTAATTGAATAAGTCTACATCCTGCCCTTTGAAAATTGAATGTGATGATCAAGTAATAAAAAAATAAGCACACAATACAATAAAAGATGATATATTGTAGAAGTGTATACCTAGAACCTGCATAATTTGTTAACCAATTTCACCCCAATAAATTCAATAAAATCAAAACAAAACTTTACAGCACTATAGAACACTAAAATGTACGGAACTTAATTGAGTGGTTAGTATGGTAAGTAAAGGGTCTTGCAAATACCAAATGTTTGACTGGGTTGTTGGAGATGCTGGGTCATGCCATCCTTGCCAAAGTCATCTAAAAACTGTAGTCCCTCCATGTAGTGGTTAGGATAACAGCATCTCTATTTGGACATCAGATGGGTAAGGGGCAAAGCCACCAGTTTTTCTGGGTTTCATCTGCAGAAATCTAGTCTATTGGAATAAGTGTGAGAAGTGAGTGTGGCTTTGTCTTTTGGCTTTGTCTTTCTCTTTGTCTTTCCCTCAAAAAAGAGCTTCTTCAAAGACATATATAATTTGTACCTTCAATTTCTATTAGCTGAATAAAATAAGATAATGTATCTGCCCCAAATTTCTAAGAGATTTGGTTCATTTCTGAAAACTATATCCTGATACATTCATCCTTAAGTGTTTAGGGATGAAATATGCCAGTATTTGCAACCTTCTTTGAAATGCATCAATATAAAATGAAATAGCCCTAGCCAGTTTGGCTCAGTGGTTAGAGTGTGGGCCTGAGGACTGAAGGGTCTCGGGTTTGATTTTGGTCAAGGGCAATACCTAGGTTGCAGACTCAATCCCCGGCCCGGGTCAGGGCGCATGTGAGAGGCAACCAATCGATATATCTCTTTCACATGGATGTTTCTTGCTCTCTATCTCTCCCCCTCCCTTCCACTCTCTCTAAAAATCAATGGAAAAAATATCCTTGGGTAAGGATTAACAACACAACAAAAACCCATGAAATAATGAGTGGATAGAGGGATGGATAGATGAATATATATGTGATAAACAAATGCATTTAATTTTTAAGTATAGAATCTAGGCAATTGCTATTTGATGTTCAGTATACAATTCTTTCCAGGTTTGTGTATGTTTGAACATTTTCCTAATAAAATATAGCACAACTTTTATGTTTTGAAGCCTATCAGGAAGAGTTAGAAGCAAAAGACAGCTTTAAGCAGATAAATAAATCCATCTCTTGAATTCAGCATTTGCAGCTTCTTGATTTACCAAGTAAAATGATTCTGGCTTTTATTGCAATTAGTACCCAGCATGTTCCTCCAGCGGTAACTGGAGCCAATTGGAACATGGAGCCAACTGATTCTTTACACAGCATGAGCCATGTCACAATATAAAGAAATAATCAGCATTCACACGGTCTCACTTTGTTGAAACATTAGTGACAGTTGTAGTTTATGTAAATATGTGTGAATTTGTATTAATGTCAGTCTCTCCCTCCAGACTGTCAGGTCTATGAGAACATCCAATTTTTCTTCTAATATATGTTCATAGGGCCCAGCATGGTGACTGACACTCAGTTGTATTAAAAAATTATATTGAATAAATAAGTGAATTAATAAATCCACATTTTCCTGCTCACATATAATCAATAGATATATTGCTAATGACAAAATCCTGTAACTAAAAACCATATAAATGTTATGTTAAAATAAGAAAAAAATTGTCTTTAAATAAATGAATCAATGAATGAAAAATAAAGATACTGCTTTACTCATAATTGCAGTTGTTTATTTAGGAGGAGATTAAAGATTAAAGGCCATAGCTCTGCTGAATATTTCATATGTCTTATATATGTTTCTGTTCCAGCCAACTTTAATTTATTAGAAATACTGTTATGGTCTCCAAAGAATTCAGCAGAAATAAACTATTGGCAGTTAGGCAGAAGTTATGGATTCCTTCAGAGAGAACGGAGACCAACGCCGCCTTTTGCATTCATCTCGTGAGAATGAATGTTTCATAGTAAGTAAGCCAAATCATTTGGCAAATACTTGTTAGAGATGCAATTCTTGGGTCTACCCCAGACCTACTGAATAGGAAACTGAAGGTGGGGCCCAGCAATCTGTGCTTTAAGAAGTCATCCAGGTGATTCTGCTACATGATAAAGTCTGAAAACCTTGCTACTCAAAATATGCTCCACAGAACAGCAGCATCGCCATCACCTGGAAGCTTGTTGGAAATGCAGAATTGTGTGTCCTGCTCCAGACCTAATATATCTGCATCTGCAATGTAACAAGACCCCCAGTTTAAAATTCGAGAAGCCCTGGTCTAAAGCAGAGTGGAAAACTTTGTCCTTGAGAGTCACACTTTTATAATCTCTATGTCATTGCGCACAGCGTGGATGACAACATTCAAGTGTCTGCATTCATCGCTGTTTTAGACAGAGGAACCGGAAGCCACTCTTGAGTCCATTGACATTTTAAAAATGGAGACTGTATATTTGTCCTGATGGGGGTCCAGATTTATCCAGGGCATCCAATGAAAATGCCTTGTAATCTCCAAAGCCACACAGAAATGAAAGGGACAGTGTTGTTACCTAAAGGCCAGCTCCTAAAAGGCAAACTCTCTCTTCCTACTTTATTGGATGCTTTCAAGTTCAGGGGCTGGGAGAAGCTATTGTTTCTATGAATTAGTATTCAGCTACATTATTATTGGAGGAGGAAGATTTTCATTTAAGGAGAATAAAAAAATGACCAATAAACCTCATCTTTGATTTTATCACCAAGTTCTTGAACCATGGACGAGACTCAGCTTATTTGCTGGAAAAATTAAATGGCCAACAAGGCCTTCCTGAGTTCATTGCTGTGCCCTTATGAGGTAATCACCTTGGATTTTTGCACCATAGGACCTTTTCTTTTCAAATAATCAAATTTCTTCGAAGGTATCCCCAAGGTACCATACACTGAATTAGGAAATAAACTATAAGCTCACTGATAAGAACAACTTTTTAAGTCTGACAACTTAAAAACTAGGCCTCTTAAAATAAACGAAATGCTAGTATTATCAAACAACTCTCCCTTTCCGGCACAAAAATGTGGAGATCACTCACACGCCTGCACTGGTATCATACACGCAGACAATAGAGGGAACTCCCGAGAACAGAAACGTTGGCCTTGAGGGCTGAGTAAGGTTGGGATGTCAGGTACAGGCATAAATCAATTTTTACCTTCGCTTTACTATGTTTCACAGATGTGTTTTTTTACAAACTGAAGGCAAGATCTCTTGCCAGCAAAAAGAATTATGACCTGCTTTACTGCGATACTCACTTTGTGGTGGTCTGGAACCAAATCAACATACCTCCGAGGAATGCCTGTACTCTGTCTCAGACCATAACTTCCCCCAAGGGTGGAAATGGATGCTTGGTGACTGAATGTAGCCTCTGTAACTTGGAAGTTTAGAGCTGGGAGATAGGTATGTGTATTTTGGCCAACAGCCAGTGTATAATCTGATCAAATAGAATCTGTATACAGAAACCTAACTTATTGAAAAACCAGTTTTTATAATATCCAGTGACTTAAAGGGGGAAATCTTGACATTTGATTCAACAAAAAGTTCAGTTCAAAAGATATTACTATCAAAGGTAAAGGTCTTGTAGTCTGTGCTCAGTCATCCAGGTAACCTGCTGCAGGGGACAGGAAGTGAATGGAGGGCTAGTCCTTACTGAAGGTGACTAGAAAGCTGGTTTTGTTACTGAGGTGCATGGTGCAATGCGGTGCAGTACAGATCTTTGCTACTCTGTACAGAGTGCTCTGGAACAGCATTCTCCCATCACTTGGGCCTGTTAGTTTCTGAGCCCCAGGCCCCACTCCAGACCCACTGAGTCAGGATCAGCATTTTATCATTAAACTTCGAGAAGTGGTGGTGTAGAACATGAGTTCTGGAGCCAGATTGCTTAGATTTCAATCCCGACTCTGCTCTTTACCAGCTGTGCGGCACTGGGTGATGAAGTTAACCTCTCACTGCCTTACTTTTCCCATCTGTTAAATGGGAATAGTAGTACTTAAGACACATGGATTTTTAAAGACTTAAATATGTTGTGAAATTAAAGGGCTTAGAACAGTACCAGAAACATAGTAAGCACTCAGTAAATATTTACTTTTATTCTCCACATCTTGACATGTTTTAGCAAATATTGCATTTGGAAATTATTACCAAATAATATTTTGTAATAGATACACTAGATAGTGACTTTTGTCTCTTTACAGGCATATTTAAAAAATAAAATTTAAAAAGTGTTACTGATGTCTCATTAGGCATCTCTATAACCATGTTAAAGTATTAGGGCTGTGAAACATTTTTAGAAATTAAAAATCTCTTGGTAAAAAGCAAATGTACCTAGAAAGCATGCTAGCAGGATATACAACAAAAATTTTAACAGTATCTGCAAAATTACTGGGCCTTCTGTGTCTTTTGTTTATTATTTTTAAATGACTTTTTATTTAGAGAAATAGCTAAACATATTATAAAGCCTTTGTTATTCAGATTGGCAACTTTCTACAACTTTACTAACCCACTACCCTGAATAACAACTTTAAAATAAACCCAGCAACTGTAATCTCTATTATTCCTTAACTTCCCAAATACATATGTTAAATATATATATACACACACACACACACTAGAGGCCCGATGCACAAAAATTCATGCAAGACTAGGCCTTCCTTCCCCTGGCTGCCGGCACTGGCTTCCCTCCGGCACCCGGGACCTGGGCTGCTTCCCTCCTCTGGCTGCCTGCAGGCACCTGGGACCCGGCTGGCTTCCCTCTGGCCCCGGCTTCATCAGGAAGGATGTCTGGAATGATGTTCGGAAGAAATCTGGTCTAATTAGCATACTACCCTTTTATTATTATAGATATTTTTTCACATGATATGAAATAAATATCTATTGTCCAAAGCATGGAAGAATTTTCAATTTTCCTAGTTATTTGGTTTGCAAATTACTCTATGAAGATAACTTATTAGACTACTACAAATGTGGGAATATTTTGCAGTGCAATGAAGTCTTTAATTTTCAAATAGATATGACCTTTATAGGTACAAGTTAAAAGGATTCTACTAAAAACGTCGTTGCTGCTAAAATAGTGTCTCCAGTGCCTGCCATGTCCTAGATAAAATTTTCTTCCGAGAAAACCACAGCTCCTTATGTTCAGTGGCCTCATTCAAAGGACCGTGCATTACTGCAAGACAAGATGAAGGGCACACTGGTGCCCAGAGGTGGGAAATGACTTTTCTTTCCTACTGTTCCATGGTAAGGGCAAATGACTTTTTTCTTGAATTTCAAAAATGACTGCAATTATAGGCTTAGACATTCCAAAGGAAAAAATTTGTATTTTTTTCTCTGTTAAACCATATGGACTCTATCTGATTCAATGTCTTTAAATTATTTCTAAAACTGAAAAGGTCCAAGTTTTCTCTAAGTTTAACCAACATTATACATTTATTGAAAATCCTTTCTGATCCACCATTTTTTTTAGAGGAGAAACAAAAATAAAGTTGACCTAAACTTCTAGTGCATTTTTATATCCAGGGCTGTTTTATTTTCCCCAAATAGCTTTTTGGCAGGCGATGTCTTGCAAAGATAAGGCTTTGAAAGGACAGCAACGTGAAAGGACCCCTGCAACCTCAAGGGCCCCAGGTCTCCATTCCTTAGTGACATTTCTTTGCAATTGAGGGAGAGGGGGGTTAAGAGATCAACAGAAGGACTTGTATGTATGCATATAAGCATACCAATGGACACAAGACACTGCGGGGAGGGGGGGGGTATGTGAGGGCATGTGTGTGTGTGTGGGGGGGGTAGGGGAGGCCAGGGGAGGTCAATGGGGGAAAAAGGAGACATATGTACTACTATTTGTAATACTTTAAACAATAAAATAAAATTTAAAAAATATATAAAAAATAAAAAGAAAGAAAGAAAAATAGAGAAAGGGTTGCTCAGAGGCACCATCAGCAAAATGTCCCATTCATTATGAGACCTTTACCCCAAATGCTGCACTACATACGCCGAAGAGGCTGGTGTCTTGAAAAGTTCTCCTCAAGGAAGAGCTTACTCCTTGGAGAACCTGGCTAACAAAGAGGTAGAAGTTGATGATATAAAAAGTCTTGTTTCTAAATAGTGACAAAACGTGTAATTTCACTTGAAAATGTTTCATTCCAACTTCTATTTCTTAGAAAATAAAATATATCTAATTGAGTATAGAGACTCCTGTTTTCTAATCAGAGAAGGATGCTATGAATAGTAATTTATATCTATATTAACTGTACTTGCCTTGAATTAAATTTTATTAAGTATGGTAGTAAGCACAAGAAGGTAAGAGAGAAAAGTTTCAGAGCTTCTGGTGGATTTCTAAGGAGAGCTTCTAATTTCATACTGGTGTATAGATGAGCAAAGCAAGACATTCTGTAGTCTTACTTAATCTTTTCAAAGGCCATTGGAAAGAAAAATAACACACTCTTATCTCTGAAGAAACACCCAGATTAAAGATGTAACTATTGGCAAACATTTAAATTCTAGTTCCCAAGCAAAACATTCAATTTATAATTTAATGATAAACAGAAGCTATTTAGCCTCGCTGGGTTCTCTATAAGCAGAACTGCACACAGGGGATCTTGAGTAAATGATTTGTTGAGAGTATGCGCTCAGGAGAAAACTGTCAGGAAGTGAGGAAGGCAGGGTACACAGGGAGAGAAGATAAGTTAAAATGTGGTCTCAGCCTTAGCCTGATCCAACAAAGGTGTGTGTGCGTGGCGGGCGGGGGGCGGGGTCGCTTTTTGGGAGTGCGAATTGCAACACAGAAGTTGCCCACTCAATAGCAAGGCACCTGAGTTATTCTCCAGGATCTTTCAGTCTCTGGGCATGGACCACTCTATTCCAGGAATAACTTTCCAGGCATCTCCAGAGAAGGTGGCTCCCATCAGCCCAGGCCAGTCCTCTGGAGAAGCCTGGAGCTGTGTGGGTTTGCCGCCCACAGCTGCAGCAGCCCTGCAAAGGAGATGTGGGCAGGCCACCAACAGCATCTGCTTGAAGCTTACAAAGACACCTTCTTCAATGGGCCTGCATAGCAGTGATTGCTTACACCAAGCCCTCAAAATTCAAGCAGGGGCCTCAGGTGTTTTTTGTTTGTTTGTTTGTTTCTAGGTTTCCCTCTGCAAATGGTAAGCCTAGATGTCAGAGGCACAAGCAACTCGGAAGTATATTCATGTCTGCCATTAGGCATCATTTCCTGACAGTATAAAGTTTCCCTACAACCCCATTTATTGCAAACTGCATATAGCATTATTTATGAAACTTCCCAGTCTAACCTGAAATTTCATCCCAGAGGATGATGTATCTATTGGTCCTGCAGTGTAAACGAGAGACTGGAAAATCTTACTCATATGTGAAATATTTTCCTTTCATTTCATTTTTCTCATGTTCAGTTAACTCAACATCTTAGATTTAAAATTTATGAAATTCTATACAAAACCAAGGAAATAATCATAAATGTGCTAAAAATTTACATGATAGTCATGGAAGATCTGTTTAAAATAGAGAAGCATTCCAAATACCCAATAAGAGGGGAATGGAAATATAAATCATGGTATAGTTACATGATAGAAGACCACGAAGTTACTAAAAGTCATACCATAGAATATTTAATAACATGGAAATATTTGCATTAAGTGAAAATAAAACATGGATTGTGAGTACTATCCCATTTTATGAACGAGTATAATTGTACATAAAAACTAGCTGTATGGGATCCCATATTTAGTGTTACCGCTGGGTGGCTTGGACATTTGAATTATAGGTGATATCTTTAAGACTTTCTTTTCTCCTTTTTATTTTTAATTTTTCTATGATAAACCTATGCTTCCTTTAGAATAAGAAAAGGGCTACTTAATAGATAATATCAACTTAAGTGGATTTGCTATTAGTTACAGTTATCTAAACAGTTTTCAAGGTTTCCCCCCCACACACATAGTTATCCATTTTTCTTATCTTTTTCCCCTGAATTTATTATCTGAATATTCAAATAAAATATGAAAATAGCTATTTTTATCACTACTTTTAATATTGAGGCTATCTCCAATAATCATTAAATAATATTTTACTTTTTTAAAAACCAAAGGATCTCCAGTCTACATAGAGGCTTGATATTTTTAAACTTCACTTCTAATATTTCTAAACCCTTCCTTAATTATTCTTTACATGGTGATATGTAACTTAGAATAATATACCAACTGTTTTAGGAATACATATTTTAACACATAAATATACAATGTAATAATAATAGCAAACACCTTATGGCCCATACTACACACCAGGTATTGTTTTAAGTACCTTATGTATTGTAATAAATCACAAAAGCACTTTGAAAATCCTATACTTGAAATTGAAGATAAAAGAAAGTACTAAATGACTTGATAATCATCTTCTTTTATAAGTGCCTTAATCATCTTTAATTAACATGAAATCATCTAGAAATTTTCATATGAAGCAGCAAGATGTGTACTGTTTCATGGATCACAAAATAAGACACTGGTGGTAGCCACAGGGTACCAGAAGAGACTGAAATATGAAAAATTCAGTTAATCATCTGGTTGTTTTGTGAGGTGATGATGAACTCCATCAAGATGTTTTCCCAATGTGCTGATTTCTTCTCCTGATGTGTGGTATTATATAGGTAAAGCCAGCAATGAGGTGTGGAAATCACCCTTAATGTCATGCATAAGATTAGCACTCCCTCTCACCTCTTTCTTTACGTCTTCTTCATCTTCCAGTGTCAAAGCAGCCAGTTGCTTAGCTCTCTGCTCCATCAGATTCACATATCGAATTGGATTTGACAAAGCTTCAATCACATCTAAATAGGGAAGAGACGTTTTAGATGAAAGATCTTGGAAGTATTGATTATCCACCATCCATCCATGCATCCATCTATCCATCTACTCACCCATCCACCTACCAATTCATCATTCATTTTCCATTCTTCCATCTACCAGTATAACTACCCACTCATTCATCCAACATTTTAAAAATGAACAAGAGTTAAGACGCTTTGCTGAAACTCCAGAAAGAGAGCCCTCAATGGAGGGCAGCTCTGAGAGCCAAACACGACAGGCTCCAAATCAGGATGTCTCAATGCTCCATATTATTCAGTTTAATTTCAATTTCATCCATTCCAGGGACCTGAGTTTGGCCCAAATGATGTTTCATAAGTGGAGACATTTCACATAAAAAGCCTGTTTTCCAGATGGTTGAAACAACCAAAAGATTTGGCAATGTGGGTCTAGCTGGAGTGAATGTGGCTGCCATCTTTGGGTGGGGCACATGCTTCAAGTTTGCCACCGTCTTTTTATTTTTTTATTAATCCTCAACTGACGATATTTTCCCCCCATTGATTTTTAGAGACAGTGGAAGGGAGGGGGAGAGACACAGAGAGAAAAACATCAATGTGAGAGAGACACATCGATTGGTTGCCTCCCGCATGCACTCCGACCAGGGTGGGGATCCAGCCTGCAATGGAGGTACGTGCCCTTGACAGGAATGGAACTCCCAATTCTTCAGTCTGTGGGCCAATGCTCTAACCACTGAGAAAAACCAGCTAGGGCATGCCGCATTCTTCACTACTCCTTAGTATATTATACCCAGGCCACTTATCACTGTATATAAATTTATGATCCCTTGTTGATATCATCATAAGTTAACTTCTCTAAACTTAGGGTTCCACGCATTAAAAGAATCAGGGTTCTAAAACTGGAAAGGCAAAAATAATTACACAGATCTGTATAGACTGCTGTAGTACCAGGCAGCATGAGTTAGAAAGTGTTGGGCCCATGAGAGTACTACTACCAGTGGATAAATAGGCTCAATAGTTTATTGAAACTTGAACTAAATTAAATTAACACTTGTTCATAAAGGCTTGAGCAATTTACTTTCTAGACATAAATATAAAATAGAGGTGACTCTGAGGCCAGGACCTCCTATCTTTGTTTCCACAAAAATATGGATGAGCCGTTTGATTAGGCGGTTTACCTGCATAGGTGTCTGGAACGTAGTCTTTCACCTCTATGTAGACAAAGACAGCTGGCAGCATCAGAGGCTGGTTCCTCTCATTCCTCAGACAGATGTAGTGATAGCCTGGAGGGCGACAATAATACTGTTCATCACATATTTTCTTCACAATGTTCGTTAGCACACAGGAACATCTATGTGATAGAAGTGTTTATTTTAGGGGACTTTGGATGACAAACAGGTCACTTTTCTCACTTTAATTGCATAGCTTTAAGTGAGAAAGTATTATTTTTCTCACCAGATGGAAAAACAATGTTGATTTTGATTTTTTTCTTTCCAACCACATTTTTCCCCCAAAGAAGAGAATTCAGTGGCATTGTCGTAGATTAAATTACTGCCCCAAATTTGTCCTTTGTCCATGATTCCTTCACTTGGGGTTTTATCATATGCTCTGCTTTGGACAATGGGACCTCAGTGATGTGATGCAAGCAGAGGCTTACAATGCACTTGTATCGTCCGGCTTGCCTTTATGCATTCCAGTGGGTACCGTGAGAAGTCCTACTGTGTGTACGCTGCTCCTTCAGCCTGGGCCCCTGCATGAGCACATGTGGAATAGGCCTAACCCAGCCCACAGCCCAGAGCACAGCTATATGACTGAGCCCAGCAAACCCTGCCAACCCACAGACTGGTGTGAATGAAGATAAATATTTATAAGCCATTGAGTTTTCAGGTACTTTGTTATGCACAATTATTGTGGCAAGAATTGATTCATACATCATAGCATGCCACAAACACATGAAGCTGCCAGATTGAAATAGTCTTAGAGCCCTTGTAGAACAAAACACTAAAGCCGCAAACAGCTTCCTAAATCATTCTTTAATAATCATGTATGACAGGGATGATTTTCTTTACAACTTTGGTATAAAGCTTCTCACCACACCATCCATACCTGGCCGAATTGCTTGTACTGGCAAGATCCGGTGACCAATAAATTTTCCTCCTTCTTCATAAGCTGCTATCCTCAGACAGGCGAGTGAAGGAAGAACCACCTTCGGAGACATTAGGACACACGTGGTTATAAGAAGGAGCAACTCCAGAAAATAGAAAAGAATTAGAGAGATATTATTCATATGGGTCCTGCTTTTCCAGATCCAACTAGAAGCTTCTACCTAGCAAGTTGATAAAAAGTTAAGTTGTTGCTCTACAATTTAGATTTTCAAAAGGAGAAGGGGTATCAGAGATACCACTTTATGTTTTATCACCGTGCCCTAACTAGGAATTTGTTCAACACACAGGCCATTTGCTTTTGACATGAACATTCTCAGCGCGGAAATGACAAAAGTTCAATGTTTAAATCCAAAGGGTTAGTGCTCTTATCATTATTTGAGTATTTACTACTGTATTTTCAAAGCAAACCACTTGTATATTTTCAAAACAAAACCAAAAAATAGCTTTCAGAATAGTTTTCAAAATGAGATTGCTTTATAAATTTGTAAATTACCAACTGAGGCCCCAGAAAAATTGCTCATTTTCACCCTCAATGTAATACATGCAGAGTACACAGTTATATCCCATGTCGAGATCATTAGGCCAATGCATCCTTAAAAAATGTATTTTTGACAGCAAGAGCAAACTAACGTCTATTGACTATTTTCAATGTGCCGAAATTTTCTAAATGCTTTCAGTGTGGTAGGGGATATTTATACTAACTCTATGAAGTAGACACTATTACTAGACCTAATTATCATAAGAAATGATGGGGCACAGAGTCCTTTAATATAGACATTCTCTTTGCAGAAGACTTCCTTTGTGGATATTTTGGCCAGATAAAAGCAAAGGGTATGGTAAGAAAGCCTACACTACTTTCTATTGGACTTACTGTCATCCTTTGTGTGAAAACATGAAGATTTGCTTTTTGGTGAAGGCAGAGAGAAGGCCCAGGTGAATGTAAAAGGTTTTAACTCTATCAGACAGAACCCTGACCAGCTGCAGTGGCTAGAGAGTCTAGGGAATTTAATTAATATCCTATATAATAAAAGGCTAATATGCAAATAGACCAAATGGCAGAACGACCGGTTGCTATGATGTGCATTGATCACCCAGGGGCAGACACTCAACACAGGAGCTGCCTCTGATGGTCAGTGAGCTCCCACAGGGGAGTGTCACTCAGCCAGAAGCCGGGCTCATGGCTGGCGAGTGCAGCAGCAGTGGTGGGAGCCTCTCCTGCCTCTGCTGATGTCTGACTGCCGGCTTAGGCCCGCTCCCCTAAGGGCCTAAGCCATCTGTTGGACATCTCCTGAGGGCTCCTGGACTGCAAGAGGATGTAGGCCGGGCTGAGGGACCCCTCTGAGTGCACGAATTTCGTGCACCGGGCCTCTAGTTCTTTTATAAAGAAGTATGATCTGCCTTTCTCTCAACTATCATATTATTCCTTATTTCCCCCCTCTACTTCATTTGAGTCATAATGAAAATATATCACTTACCACTGTATTATGAGAGAATATGAATTAGATGTATATGTCATTCTGGTGTTCCAAATGAGGTATATTAGAATTAACTGATTTACAATACAGTTCTGAAACCATGAACAAGTGATTCACAGAGATCTTTACTTGTTCTCCATAGCTTTCAAAATGCCATTGCTTTATTACTGTGTAAGTTCCCAAATTAAGCCACAAAAATATTCTTCTTTTCATTTTTTTCTCAGTGTAAAACACCTAGAATGTGCAGTTCCATATCATGCCAAGGACACAAAACCAACCTTTTTGAACACAATGGGTTCTTCCTCCCAGACGGGATTTACAGCATTTCCTTGGGATGTCTTGGTCTTAAATGCTTTCCTCCTCGTGTCCACAGGCAAACCAAACATATCCACTTCCACATAAGTCCCGACTTTCTTATCAGAAAGAAACTGACCCGAAATGATCTAGAAAATAATAAAAAGTAACTCTTCATAAATGAATAATAATGATATAAGAAAATGCTTCAGGGAGGCACAAATGCTGATGGTGAATGTTGAACAATAAATAGGAGCAAGAGTACAAATATAATTCCTCTTTTGGCTAAAGAATTAGTGGGGGACTATTGAAAATGCTGGGGTTAGAGGAGTCAATAAGACAAAGTTGTATAGGAGGAAATAAATGAACAAAATTTCGATGAAATATTTGCCTTATGTACTTAAGATACATATATTAAATGAAAGATTGGTCTTTAGAGGCAACTGAATATGAAGATTTTCCTAATACTTAAAAATATTACAAGAGGAAACTTCTCATTTTAGCATAATTATAAATGAAACTAAAAGGTCATTTAAGAGTACAAATTTAAAACATAACGTAGTAGAAACTCTAGCATTTAAAAAAAATTCCTGTTGTTCATGAAATTTTACTTGAAGGAGTGGTTGTAATCCTATGGTATACTAATTCTCAAAAGTTGTTACACTTTAAATAAAAAGTCACAGTGATGACTGAAAAGACAAAAACAATAAATAGCGACTTTAACCATTAAACTCAGTTCATTATTCCTTCTAATCTCACCTGTTTAGCCATCCACACAATTGTGGGTATCCTCTGCCTAGCTGTAAAATTATCAGATACTATGGAATTAAAAGAAATTTCTAAATCACATAGTCATAAAATGTCTCCCACGTCTGCCTCTTTTTCTCACCCAATTTTCAAAGCCCGAGAGATTCTTCAGGTATCATAAAGGTGTCTTTTAAAAAAAAAATTAACTGTATTGTTGAAAGTATTACTGATATCCCTTTTTTTCCTCTCACTGACCCCTCCTCTCCACTCAGCCCCCTCCCCAGGCCTTCACAGCATTATTGTCTTCTGCTTTAACACCTGAGGGGAGCAGCAGCAAGCAAGTGCTGACAGAGCAAACCTGGCAAGTCTGGGTTGCCTGATTGACAAGCTGCCTGCTGGCCAAGACCTTTCTGAGCTCAAGTCAGTGGAACGGGACAAAATTTCCAAGACTATGACTGAGTCAGAAACCAAACACAATGGTGGCTTGAGAATGCCCATCAGTGGCCAAGCGAGGCCCAAGTCAGCTACATGCTGCTGGAGTCAAAAATTCCAAACAAGTTAGATAGAAAGTCACGAGGAAGAGGCTGTCTGAATTTCCCCTCAATGTTCTTGTGACCTTATGATGACTGATGAAAGCAGAAGTCCTTAACTCAGTGGCACCACTCTCACATTCGCATGAGTGAAAGACAATGGCCAACACCATTTGAGTGCACAAGTCCATTCTGGCACTATGAAGTCTATGTCACAGATCAAAACACAAGCACCACTGGACAGATGTGAGCTCATCTTGGTTCTAGCTGCAGGTTAAAAGCAGGACTCCAATGCAGCATGGCCATCCATTCACAGGATACTGACAGCTCCAGAACAGGGTCTCCATTCTGGACTCGGCCAGCAGCACATTTTCCTAAGACTCAACTGTTTCCCCTCAACTTACTTTCCTGTCTCTATGCCATTGTTTTATAGTTGTTTGCACTGTCACAGAAGAATTTTCAAGAAAAAAATAAATGAACAAGCCAACATGTACAAAACAAGGTGAATCAGCAAAGAAAATATTATTAGTTTGACCCAACTATAACAATTGACAAAGATTCTAAAAATACCATTTTATCAGTTATGCTTAAGAGTTTATTTTAATCAAATGACAGGAATTACACATCCTTTGCTGAAAACAATTTCCTAAAAATAAATATTATCTTGAAGCTCTAATTCTGCCAACTCTGCTCTTCAGATATATGCTATGAAATAATTTCAAAGGATATAATTGTGAGAGACTTCACTGATATTTTATTTTTAATCCTTGGTAAAGTAACAAATTTTAAAATAAAAAAAAATGGGCTCAACAAGCTTAAGGTAGATATAAATTAGTGAAACTGTTATAGGGCTTTTTTAATTATAGTTTTTCATATGCCTTTGGTTTTGGATCAATCTGAAAATTGAATTTATATCCAATAAAAAATGTTTCTTAGTTAACAGTCATCCAGTTAAAGAGGAAAAAAAAATAAGACTTTAAAATGTAAAATGAAATTTAGCTAAAATAGCCCAGAGCTTGTAGAATTCATGTAAAAAGTTCTTTATAAAAATGATTTGCCATTCATGGTATTAATTCTCACAGCTAGAAAAAAAAGGTATATCTACTGACACATCAATTTCAAAGATTGTGGCAATCATTTGAAATTCATTGTTAGGGTCAGATAAATATTTAATAAAGCAATTTTTTAATTTGATATCTGTTTTAAATCCCTGAATACTCTGATAGATTTTTAAATCCATGCTATGGTAAGTTCAGAGCTTTTATTCCATTTTGACAATTTATTGGGAATACTTTTTTTTTTCTCTGATTTTTCTCAGTATGGATATTTCTCTAGAAAAAAACCAGAAGATTTCTCCAGTAATTTTTGTGTAAATTTTACTGTGGGACATTTACACCAAAAGAAAGGGTTGGCCATGGTGTTTCTCACCAACTTGTTTTGCTGACTGAGGGTCCAATTTTTGTCCTGTTGAATGTGCAGCCGAGTCCCTTTATTTCCTGCACTTAGTGTCTCAGAATTTCTAATTCGGATTCAGGCCTTAAAAAAATGTCTGAAGGAAGTGGAGACTGTGCTAGCAACTACACTTTTAATGACTCAACTACATTTTTACACAAAATAGGTAATGTCCAAGACTTTTGATGGGGACAATTTTATAAAAGAGACGTACATACCTTAACAGACAAAGTGTTGGCTACTATCCCATCTACGATGCCTTCGGTGAATGGATCAAAATGCTTGTCAGGTCGCCTCATAAACTCTGGCTTTAATCTGTAGCCACTCTTCCCATTGTATTCATACATCCCCATATTGATCTGCATAGCCAGGTCTGCATACCAAAGACACAAACCTTACTGTGACTCTATTATCTTTGTAGAAAGAAAGTAAGATTGTATTATGGTCCACTTTTGTTCCCTTTTTTAAAAGAAATATGTATTCATTGTAGAAATGTAGAAAACACATACAAGAAAAAAAAATTGAGCTAAAATCTCCAAATCTAGAGATAAGCTACCACCAACAGATTGGTGTATATTTTGTTTTCTTACTTCAAATACAGGGTGTCCCAAAAAATGTATACACACTTTAATAGCTGATAGCTGTAGGTTATATTACATTTTGAAAATGAAATAATTTCTCTAAACACTGCCTTTATAATGTGTACACATTTTTGAGGATACCCTGTATATTTTAAATATGCAGTATGTCTATTCCATTAAATATTTGCCTGCTTTAATTTTAACAGCTATACAAAATTCTGTTGAATAGATATATTTGAATAAATGTATTCATCCAGGCCCCTTTAAAGGCACATTTATGAGTCTCTTCTAAATTGTCACCATTACATATAATGTTTTGATGAACATCATAGTGGTGAACTCTTTGAGGATATGATTAACAGTATTCTTAGGAGTGAAATTTCTGGATCAAAAGATATGCACTTTGGGAAAGATTTTAGGTAAATCTTGCTAAAATACCCTTCGGAAAGCTAAAACCACTTTAAACCTCTAATCCCTGTTTCTAAGGAAGGACCTCCCCACACCTCACCAACAGCGGCTGCTATAATTTTTCTTTTTTAATTTATGGGGAAAAGTTTCCTTTTAAATTTTGCATTTCTTTGATTACTTACCACCAATATTGAATTGCATGTTCACCTGTTTCTAATGGACAAAGATTACTGCTCAAAGTTTCCCTAACACTCTGTATGAATGTCCATACTAATTGCAATTACTGGGGTTAAAAACAACAACACATTTTAAAGTCCTAAGAAATCTGAGAAGCTGTCATTTATCCCAGATTATCTGAGCTGAAACTCATCTCTTTTGGGCTGGACAATAGAAAAGGTGATGGTAGACATACTTCATAGTTCCATGAAAAAAAGAACTTTTAGATCAGGGAAAATAAGTGAAATTTTATCTCTCATGTTATTAAGCTAGTATAATTGTGATACTAAAATTGGACAAAGTAAAAAACAAATGAAAATGATTGACTTACCATACTTGAAAAAAATTAACTCCAAAAGCCTAAAAATTATATTAGCAAATCATATGCTTTAAGAAATAATACCCAAAAAATAAGTAGAATTTATCACAGGACACAAGGATAATTACATATTAGGAGATCTATTAATATAATTTATCACATTTTCTCACAAAAGAAGAAATGAACACAATCATCCCATAACATGGAAGTCCGCGATATTTAATAACATTTAACATAAATTCATAATATACTGCTGGTCATTAGGACAAGTGTATACTCCTTTAATGTGTGAAAGAATATCTGTCTTAAAGTCACAGCCAACATCTACTCAATGGTATCACAATGGTGAAATTGCCAATAGTGTCAGGGTGAAGAGAAAGATGCACACCACTGCTATTTAATATTATTCTAGAACAATTAGTCCAAATCCTAAGAAAGGGGGAAAAGCAGATGTGATTAAATTATTGTGATTGTATATCTGAAAAACCCAATAGAATCTATTGGCAAAAGGGGAAATTATAAGAGTTTAGGAAGATTATCATTTATAAACTAAATTTACTTATTACGGAAATATATAAATATTAATTTCTAGAAACAATCTGTTAAAAATATAATGTCAAAAAAGAGATTTCATCTAAAGAAACTAGACCTCTAATAAAGACAAGTGATTCTGCTGAGGGACTTAATATAATTTTTAAATTGAAGAGAAAAACATTCTTTCAGTGATAAAAAAAATTAAGGATACATTCTTCAGATGAATTTATAAATTTTATGTGATTTAATATAAATCTCATTTTTTTTCCAGTGGGGCAGAGGAATACATAATAACAATTAACCTAATGTAAAGTTAATGTGATTTTAATAAAAACCTCTTTTTTCCCCCAGGGGCGGGGGGAAAGAAACATGATAATAATTAAACTAAATTTATTGGAAACCAGAAATCCTACTGGCAATGACAAGAAAATAACTGAAAATAGCCAGGAAGGAGAATTTCCACTTCCAGGTATTAAGCCATTTATTAAACACTACAATAATAACAGTGTGTTATTGGTTGCAGAAAGCAGACAAACTTATTAATGGAGAAGAATATAAATAGAAAAAAATGGATCTAAGTTAACAATAACAGAAAAGGGTATACCTATTAAGCTGTAATTTCAGGTCAGTATAAAAAAGGATTGATATCTTACTGAAGTTATATATAAAAATTAATTTTTGGATAGATGAAAGGGTAAAGTTAGAAATATTAAAATATGAGAGAAATGAAAGTAAATATGAATCTGATCCAGGGGAAGCTGCAATCATTAAAGTAATCCAAGACTCCATTAAAAAAAACACACCATTAAAAATCTGATCTCATCTATTTCACAAAATAAGATAACATGCCCTTTATATAAAAAGCACTGTAAGTGACAATAGGCCTGAATAGGCGACTCATAAAAGCAGAAATATAAACAGTTTTAAACCCACATATTTAAATGTTCAACCTCAATAATAATCAAAAAATGAAATTAAAACAATAATGAAATGACAATATTTTGTCTCAAATTGTATTATTATTGTTTAAGGATAACACTTAACCAAGACCTCAGATGAGCAGGAACACTTCCCGCCATACGTTGCTAGAGAAAAATTCTGGGGCAACATTTTTTGATGAAAAGTTTGGCAAAAAACTTTGGTACAAAGTTTCTTAAAACCTCACATCTTTTGACAGAGTAATTTGGTTTTAGGAACTTTGCCAAAAGAACATCAGTAGATAGACTTGAAAATTTATGTCAAGACTATTCTCAGAGCATTATTTATAGTAGAAAAAAATTCTCTAGTGTTCAGTGATAGGAAATGGGTTTTAGTGAATTGTGAAATGTGCTTAATATACAGATATTAAAATTCATGTTTCTGTATAACATTTAAATATATGTGGAATTAAGTGAAAAAGCATATACATACATAGTCAAAAAACCTTATAGATAACAAATAATAAAGTTGAGTTTTGAATCTCTGAGTTTTATTTTTTCTTTATACATCTTTGGATTTTCCAACTTTTTCTATAATAAATACATATTACTTTAAAAAGTATAAAGGTTTTTGTTTGAAAATAATGCAAGACCAGTGCAAGACCAGTAGAAAGAAACACTCATTTATAAACTATTGAAGACAATTTCTCAATTTTCAAAATTTACTTTTTTAAAATTTACTTTTCCTAGTTTCAGTCAAGTCTGGCAATTTTTTATCCTTCGGAATGGGTTTGGGGTCCTTGGAAATATGGCTTTATGACAATGGAAATGAGCAGAAACTGTGCTACTTACCCACTGTTTGGAAATTAAGGGCAACCATTTGACAGCCTGCATTCCAGAAGAGCTGAGGCATATAGTTGGATGAATCTACACGAGTTCCTTTTGGATATATCCTACTAAGCTGCATTTTGTTATATCTGGACCATCATGTTAAGTAGTGAATACAATTATAAAAATAATTAGCCAAGAATATCACCTGAGAAGCCACCTTCCATCTTTCTCCACTGGGGAAATGAAATAAATATGGATGATCTCATTGGGCTAGGGGGCAAAGTATATAAAAACCTTGCTGAACAAACAGAATAAGTGTTTATAATATAAATGTTGCATTACCTTTGCAGCCCCTTGTAGGTGAAAACTAATAGGTAGCAAACATGGCTGAGTCAAGGTCAACATGATTTTGTAGAGATTATTAAGGATAGGCCTACTGATTAAAAACACATGAGGAAGCTCAAGGGCATCAGATCATGTGAGAGGAGGATACTGTGTTTGGCTGAAGCAGATAAAAGAACTGCATGGCTATTTTTGAAATGCTTTCTGCTCATTTTCTCAGCCTTCTCTGGGAATGCTATTTGCCAAGACTGGGGTACTTTCTATGATTGATAACAAGGTAAATATAGCACAGAAGGTTTTGACCTTGTTTTGTATTTTGGGTCCTACCGTCATCAGTTTTCCACCCTGAGAACCTTTTAGTTATTGAACAATAACTACATGTTTAAAACATGATTGACTATTCCTATTACCAAGTTAGGTAGAGGTCAGTTGTTTCTGATCTTGGGCTGGGGTGTTGGGCCATTAAGTTTGCACCTTAATTCTGAAAGCTACTGGCTCTGTATAATCTATGGCAAATTATTTCACTTTGCTGAGCCTCGTTATCTCATCTATAAAATAGATTGAATAATTCCTACATCACAGGGCAATTGTAAGGATTAAATGAGGTAAGACATAATGGAAGGTCAATCTCATAGATAGTACTTAATGAACACTAATGATCATGATTTTTATAGTGTGACTATATATGGACTTTACATCTGTTCTCTCTCCTATTGATGAGTTTTAAAGGTGATTTTTTTTTTTTAGTTCTAGGACTTGCTTCATGAAATTGAGCTCACTGACACATTTAATATTACTTTTATGAAAAATATGTAAAGATCTGTTTCATTTTATTTTGGGTCATGGATAATAATAAGTAGTTTTTGTTCTCAGAAGTATCAACAAAGCCTTTAGTAGTAATATATATTTATATTCTCATATCATTATTCCAGCTATTTTTTTAAAATATGTTTTTATTGATTTTAGAGAGGAAGGGAGAGGGATAGAGAGATAGAAATACCAATGAGAGAGACATAGATAGGCTGCCTCCTACACACCCCCTACTGAGAACTGACCTGAAACCCAGGCCTGTGCCCTGACCAGTTATCGAACCAGGGACCTCTTGGTTCATGGGTTGACACTCAACCACTGAACCACACCAGCCAGGACCAACTACTTGTTTTTAAAAAATATATTTTATCGATTTTTTTTTTTTTACAGAGAGGAAGGAAGAGGGACAGAGAGTCAGAAACATCGATGAGAGAGAAACACCGATCAGCTGCCTCCTGCACAACCCCGACTGGAATCGAACCTGGGACCCTTCAGTCCACAGGCCGACACTCTATCCACTGAGCCAAACTGGTCAGGGCCCAACTACTTTTTATTGGCCATTTATTAAATGTCCAAAGATGCAAGATGCCAAGTTAGGCTTACATATATACATGCCATACTTGTATTATATCTTACATATGTTGTCCCTAACCCAAACAGAGAGCCATAAAGCTGGTATCATTATTTATGTTTTATAGGTGAGAAAGTTCAGGAAGGTCAAGCAAACTGACAAAGGACAAAGAGCTGGATCGTGAGAAATGCTTGACTCCAAGGCCAGTTCTCTTTTCCGTACGCCAGGCTGCCCTACCCAGCAGTGCCAATGAAACCTGAAACTATTTATCACACCCAGGTGACAGACTGAAGCCATTGCATGCATCCTTTTGCTTATTTAAAGCAAAAATTAAATAACCCGTGACTTCAGTTGTGCCTATTCAGTTGATATTCGTCAAATCAAGGATACTCTACAAATTCCACTGGAGACTTCGTCAGCTGCTCAAGTCCTTTGGTTTCCACGAAGGAAGACATTTCAAAACTTCTGTTTCTTTCTGAGTTAATGACAAACAAATAAAAAAGTAAGTAATAAAATTCAGAGTTATAAATTGTAACATATGAGAAGTAGGCAAATGTTCAGTGAATTTACAGCGATTAATTTTCAATGTAACTTGTATATGTATTTTTTTCAGGGAACTATTTACTATTTATCTGCTACAAAAGCTGAGTCTTGTTCGTTGTCTCTTCTAATATTTACCACCTGGGCCGCTTATGCTTATGGTTGCACAAGTCAGGGACCAGGTGGCATTAGGGTGGGGAAATTGATTTTCGTCTCGGGTAGTGTGGCAATGACAGCTATTTTGTCAAAAGGGCACAGGCCCTGGGGAAATCTCTTGTTGGAAATCCATTCAGACTGACTTCTTGGGGCCATTTCTGGGATTCACGAAAGAGACCAGGGGGTGTGTTTACTGGAGGCCACCCCTTTTATACCCGCACTGTCAGGGCCTCCGTTTGTATATGTCCTTATATCCTTTGGTTCAAACGGCTAATGTGACATTAGAATTGTGTTACTTCAAAGCAGAAGGATCCTTGGAAATTTCCCAGTCTGATGGCCTCATTTTCAGATTAGATAACAAGGTTGGGAGGTGAATGTACTAGAGGTCTCAATGTCCTCGAACACAGAGCAGCATTTTGAAAGTGAAATCCAAGCTTCTAATTAGGATGAGAGAAGCAAAACAAAGCTATCTTAGTTTGGAGAGGCTAAGAGCCTAGGAGCTTCTGTCTTCCTCCCAAGGAAAAATCAGTGTTATATGCTTTGCATCCTTAAAGCTTCATTCTTCTTCCTATGCCTTCCCCGCTCCTTTACCCATCTCCTCACCTTCCCCAATCCAATAATCTGTAAACTCTTTCTTCTCTTATTTTTACCATCAAAAGTCTCCTTTCATATGACTAATTACTTTAAGTATGACTGTTAATTGAAATTAAGTCAATTTAATAGGTGCTTTGTAAACTATGTGCGAATATTGTTTTTTAAAAGTGATAAAATAATCTAAAATACAAAGAGAAAAGAACCGGTTTGTCCATCTTGGGCTGATGCTCTTGTTACCAAGTTCTGAAGAACTTAAATGCATCATCTCCTTCTCAACTTGGCTACTTGTCTAGGAGCTTTTCCCTCATGTCACAGTAATATAAATAGGACATTTCGAAGTGGACAACTTGTGGTCAGCAGCATCAGTAATTGTAGCATCAAAGAAAATGTTGAAATCTTTATACTTAAGCTGTGTTGGAAATTAAATTCTTTATTGTAGAAACTTAGATACCATACGCCACTAAGTTAAGACTCTTTGGGCAAAATTATACAGTTACACCTGTGTGTTATGCAGAAGCTTAGATTTTGAGAGATCTGTAAATCTATCCTTTATAAGAGGCTGCTGACCTTTTGACCTGATAGCATCTTACATTTTATGCAACAATAGAGGGCAATTTCATAAAAGGACTCTTTTCTCTAGATGGAGGAAAGATGATATTTTTCTTTGCATCCACTATGAATGCATGCTTGGATAAAGGAAAAAACACAAAGTGATATGAGGCTAGTCACATGTTCTCCGTGACACATAAAACAGGCTGGACAAATGGAATGTGGATAAATTGGTTGATTTGGTTCTATTTCCAGCTATCAGGGCTGACCAGTCACTGGCTGCTTCCTCTCTGGGAAGGTGGTTTATTTCATCACTGTCACTTACACAATGGTTGCAAACAAAAACCAAATGTAAAACTCTCAATTAGCTGTATTCTGTCCAACGTCTATAGACCTAGTACGTATTTTGGAGAAACATCATGGGATACTTTCTCATATGGTTATTGAAATATATATATATGACATATATATATCACATAGACAACCCAGGCATATATTATAGACTCCACCAGCAAAAAGTAATAGTTATATTAACAGTAACAGTTTTTTGTCTAATTGCCTTCTGTTTAAAATACACTTATTACATGTCACATTAGGGTTTTTGCTCCTGGAAAACTTACTTTTTGAAATTTCAAATGACTCAAACTTGACTGGCTGAATATAGTTCACCAGGTTAGACATCTCTTCTGTAGCCATGGCCTCGCTCCCAGCAGTCCCCTGGAAGCAGGAATAAAAATAACATTCCCAGAATCAACATTATATTGCCCAGGGTTATTTTCCCAGGGCAATGCTCACGTGACCCAGGAGCACAGAAAATCATCCCTCCTCTTCTGCAGATGCTTACCATCAGTAGAAAATTCATTCCAGGGGGAAGAAAAGGCCAAGCTTCTCATTACCCACATGTGGAGTGGGCGCAGGGAGGGTTAGGGGCTGCGGCACCAGCCTCCGCAGGAGACCCTTAGACGTGCAGCAAACCAGAATCCTCATTTTACTACAGTGATTCAAATCACATGAAAGTTCGAGAAGCACTGAGCTACATCTCATCGCCATAGCAGGACGTCTAAAGTTAATACATCAAGAACTCACTGTACAACTAGAAAATGAGTATGTGGGTAGCCCCCAGATGAACTGAAGTTATTAAAAAAACAAAGATTACCTTGTGGAAGTGGGTTGGGGTGGGCAAACAGTTATTGTTTTTCTTTATGTAAACATTCCTCCTTTCCTCCCTTCTTGGTCCCTGTGCGCCTTTCAGGCAAGCCCACAGTATACTGGGGGGTTCTTAAGCCAGACTGTCTGATTTGAAATCCAAGCCTGTGCAATCTTGGGCAAGTTATTTAACTGCTCTGTGCTTCAGTTTACTTATTAAAATTAGGGTGAAATTAGTTCTGATAGCATATACGGTTTTTGTGAGTATTGAATGAGTTCATGTATAGATAAGAGTTCAGAACAGTGCTTGGCACTGAGTAAAACATCATGTTATTTTAACTACTATCAACTATTACATGTTATTTTGATAATGTTTTAAACAAAAAACTAATACTGAGTATTGGCATGAATAGAACTCTACAGGTTGATCTTACATTTTCTCCCATTTTTAGATGAGAGATACATGGAGACAAGCATTCTTTTGAAAACTCCTATAGAAATATTTAGGTTAAATATTAATTGGAAATTACTGATTTGGAAACAAATTATCAAATTAGAAAGGTACTTTTTAAATTATTAAAAATTATTGATAAGAATTTATCAACAATTAAAATAATTCTCAGGCGGAAATACTTTATCAGACATTATAACAAACTTTCTCCTGAATATTAAGCTGCAATTTAGTAGGGAAACATAATAAGCAATGTCCAATGCATTAAACAAAATGATTGTAAGAGGAAAAATATCAGAGAAGAACAGCTTATTACTTATTTATCCATAACTGAATCGCAAAGATACAAGTACTGAGACAGGTACTTTTTAACATACTTTAAAGCAGACTCAGTATAATTTTTTTTTATGAGAACTCCTGCTAAAACAAAGTTAAAATTCCAATTCACCTAGCTCCGATTCACTTATAGGTTCTCTGCAATTAATATTTCTGATCTCATGAAGTTATGTGGGGTGCTTGATCTCATAGCTCTCTAGTGTTTTCAAAATACAACAATGGAATGAATGTCATATTTCTGGATATTTCTCCAGACCTCATGTCTTTTCTGAACCTTGGACCATTTAGCAAGCCATTTAATTGCCTCAAACACTGAAGCAGGAAGGTGCATGTCACAGATTTTGAATTCACCCTCGTGATACCCAATTTGATGGGAGGCAAATCTCAACAGCATGTTCATTTTAGAGAACTTTTTCAATGCCCCACTTACTCCTTTACTGACCCAAGTTTGCATCTTCAGGTTCCAAAGGGTAGTGAAAAAGTTTTAAAGTGAACGGTGACATTTTCCACCACTAGATGGCAGAAGGTGACCATGGACTCTCAAGAGGGAGCTGACTACACTGGCAGATTCGCTGGATGCCTCTGTGACCAGAGGGCAAGCCCTGGACACCCACCTCATCCATTGAAGACTTTTTACAGTCATCATCATCGTCATCGTCGTCACTCTCCGTATCAGCTTCCCCTGTCAAATTTCAATAACAGATCATGAAGCGAACAAACATTTACAGGTTTGAAGCACACATGCCATGTGTATTACTAAAAATTTCCTTGAAAGTTGGCCTTTCACGGTTTGTTTTATAATGATTCTTTTGGATAGTTAAATTTTATTAATCACGAGAATTATCCTAACATTTTGAATATGGACTTTTTTGGTAAATTTGTTTTGTGAATACCATTTGAAATTTATACACTCTATAACAAATGCTAAACATTTTAATCTATGTTAAAAAAATGACATCACACACAGTTAGTTTCCAATGGCACATGTGTCCTATCTTGATGTGTGCATTCTCTTTAAGGGTCTGCATCACCCTAAAACAGACAAACTATCACTTTCCATCTTTTTTTCAACCCCGACTCTTCAATGTGGTGCTTGGCCTGTGCTCCGTGACCTTGCAGTTACCTTCCCAAGGCCGTAGAGGACCTCACAGAAGAAAGGAAGGGGATAGGGGCTGGTGCAGGTGGGGCTGTGGTACCACACCTGACCACACAACCATTCTAAGGTCCAACTATATCCTATGATTTGCCTGCAGGCTTATTTGATGAATGCATTCTTGGATGTAACTTGGAAAATGATGAAATTCTGTTTAAGAGGGTAGGTAGGGTAAACTAAGTAAATACTTAAATCATTCTGCATTATGGAAATCTATCTCAGCTTCACATTTTGCCAATATGCAGTCATTCCCAATGGCTCGTTTTTCTCTCTGCAGATTTGGTGGATGATTCTGCCAGGTTAAATAATATCACCAGTGCTCTGCCCTTCAGTGGCCTGAGGTGACCTCTGAAAATGGTTCCTTATTCACTTGACCCAGATAACCCCACAAAATTATGCCAATCAAGAGGTTCAAATCTTGGTGGTCACTTTAAGAACACTCGTGAACCTGCCCAGGCCATCAAGGGTATGCAGAAGTGATGTGTGCCATTCTGTCGTTACAATGGTGTGCCCAGGTCACAAACAGTGGGGCTGGACACAGGGACAGTGATCCCCCAAAAAGTGCTGAATTTTTGCTGCACAAGCTTAAAAATGCAGAGTGATGCTGAACGTGAGGGTGCAGACCTAGAGTCTCTGGTCATTGAGCACATCCAGGTGAACAAGCTCCCAAGATGCAGCACAGAGCTCCTGGGCGGGTTAACCCACAGGAGCTCTCCCTGCCTCACTGACAGGATCCTGCTGAAAAAGAGCAGCCTGTTCCTAAACCAGAAGAGGAGGCTGCACAGAAGAAAAAGATATCCCAGAAGAAACTGAAGAAACAAAAGCGTAAGGCCTGGGAGTAAATTGAATATAAAATAAATGCTAATGAAAGTTTAGAAAATACTCTCACTAATATGAGGCATTACATTTTTCCACATCTCTGGGCTCTCATCAGACCCAGTAATAACAGTTATTTAAATAGAGTTCCAAGTACAATGTAAAGAAGGCATAGTTCTAAATTGGTTGAGTTGACTACGGCAGGTTTCACACAGTGCAATAGCATGATGATCCCCATAGATGGCAATATTGGCTCAAAAATGAGGCAACTGGATTGGCCAGTCCCTCCTGCCTTCTAAGTTAGCTGCCATACCCACGCTATATAAATGACAGTACCCACAGCGCTGTCTTCCAAGAAGCTTAGAAATGTTTTCATTTGGCTGATGAAGTTGAATCGATTACTGAATGATTGCAGTGAGCAAAACATTCATGAACTATCTTTAGTGGAAACAGAATTTTGGCTCCAGCAAGCCTTATTATTTATGGCTTATTTATTAAAGAAAGTCACATACAACCACTTTATGATGCCTATGTTGGGTTAGTTAATAAGGTAAGTCCATTATATTTTATTTTATTTTAATTATTTTTTTATTTTTATATTTTTATTGATTTCAGGGAGGAAGGAAGAGGGAGAGAGAGATAGAAAGATCCATGATGGAGAGAGAATCATGGATTGGCTGCCTACTGCCCATTCCCCACTGGGATCGAGCCCACAACCTGGGCATGTGCCCTTGGCTGGAATCGAGCCCGGGACCTTTCGGTTTGCAGGCCGACGCTCTATTCACTGAGCAAAACCGGCCAGGGCAAGTCCATTATATTTTAGATAAAAAACATATTCTACTAAAGACACATTCTTTTGGGAGGCTAACACATTTTTTTCTAATCAAATTTGTTGCCCCAAGTAACTATGTTTTGTTTTTTAATCAGAGAGGGGATTCTGTTTTGTCAACTAATTTAAAAAGTCGATTGACAGAGCCTCCTGCACAATGCTGCATGGGGCACAATATAGCAGTCATTCCAAATACTCCATCGGGTCAGAATTTGGTTGCATGGGCGGGGGAGAGGGGAGGGAGGATTTATCTTCTTTTACTCTATGAGCAGGGACCTGATTTTTCCTTATGTCTTTGGAGGGGCCTTGAAGGAATCTTGTTGGACCATGGAAAAAAATCTTATTTTACCCTAGTTTTTTAAGATAAGTATCCTGGCAAAGGGCTGAATCCTGGAAGAGGCACCTGGCCAACCACGGCCACAAGAAGCAAATTAGTTCTGAAATAAGAACCATTTCATGATTTTTCAAGTTCCTTGACTTCATAATACCAAGAACATCCATAAACCAAATTTGGTCAATTAGCAGTCCTCCTTATTCAGGGGCCTACCTGCATATTACAATGTCCAAAATTTTCCACTGGAATAAATAAGGATTGCTCAACAGACTATGGGGCTAATTTAGGAACTACCGAATTACTAACAGATTGCTGCTCTTTCTCTGTATTAAGCAATAATGTTCGGTGCCTGTGAAAATCACTATTTGTGTTATGCATCCAGTGAATAAGAGGCAGGGAGCTGGGAGTGAGGAAGGCAGATGGAAGTCAAGCACCCACATCCGAAGAAGATGCAGGTTACTCGCCAGCCCCAGGGGATGGAACTGTGCTAGGGAATAGGTGGGCTGTTAATGACATTCATCCCAAAACTTCACAAAGAACATTCTTACTGAGAACAAAAGCTGTTTTTGAAAAAAGAGTCAGAATTGCGTAATAATGTTTGAAATAAACATTCAAGAACTTAGAAAAAAGACTTTCAAAGAATTACATCATGTCTGTTGATAAGGATTTTTATCTAAAGGAAAGGAACAGACAATTAGCATGGGAAATTAGAAGAAAAGATAAATCAGAGAGTTGGCCAACGTTCTTTTCCCCTGATTGCCATTGAGTTTATATTTTAATTTTTAAAAATTATTTTAAAATCTCTTAGTTGCCATATGTAAGTATACAGAGAAGTATAGATATCATATGAATACAGTACAATGAATTTAACGAACATAAACCTGCCTGAGTGACTAGTACTCAGATCAAGAAACAAAATATGACCCGAAGCTCCCTGGGACTCCTCTCAGTCACTTCTTCACCAATAATAACCATTTCCTGACTTCCAATGACATAGGTTAGTCCTGCCTGATTTGGTACTTTATATAAATGGAATCGTGCCATACTTTTTAAAATTTGACTTCTTTTGCTCAACATTATGTTTCTGAGATTCATTCATATTAATGTGAGCAGTTGTAGCTCATAATTGCTGCACATTACTCCACAATGTGAATGGACCACGGTGTGTTTCTCTGTTGGTGAACTTGTGACTGTTCTGAATAGTGCTGTTCTAAGCACTTCCTATCCCTGCCCCTCGGTGAAGATTTATGTGCCCTTCTCTTGGGCTCAGACCTAGGGGTGGAATTCCTGGGGCATAGGGGTGCCTCCATCCAGCTTTTGTAGATACTGCCCAACAGTTTTCCAATGACAGTTAAACATTTCATTGAAGGACTTCCTAGATTCAAGCCTAAAGTTTCCTTCACTTGCCCACCCTCTACCCAGGAGGTCTTCACAATACAGTTTTCAGATCACCAAGGTTATTTTAACTAAACTTGGAATATAAATTAGACTAAATCACAAATAATTCAGAGAAAATGGGTGACCACTTAGAATTCTTTTCTCACAACCACGAAAATCTATTTCAAATTCAATTAAAAAGGAAAATTATTAATGTTAAGCATCACCTAGCACAGTGGTTCTCAACCTTCTGGCCCTTTAAATACAGTTCCTCATGTTGTGACCCAACCATAAAATTATTTTCGTTGCTACTTCATAACAGTAATGTTGCTACTGTTATGAATCGTAATGTAAATATCTGATATGCAGGATGGTCTTAGGCGACCCCTGTGAAAGGGTCATTCGACCGCCAAAGGGGTCGCGACCCACAGGTTGAGAACCGCTGACCTAGGAGCTTTGATAGATAATTTAAGTAACTTTGCCCTTTCACATTTTAATAGAGCTCTTTAAAATAGGGGTATACTGAATTGCCCAGAAGTCTCAGCATCATCAATGAGAACACATGCAGTGAACATCTTGTGCCCAGTCCTATAATTCATGCCAAGGGATTCCTGCCCTAAAGAAGCTTAAAACCATGAGGTCACTCCAAAGGTTATCTGGCTTCTGTGGTAGCCAGAATCATGGCCTCCCCAAAATGTCCATAGCCTGTGACTATGTCCTATGTCCTGGATTATCCTGTTGGGTCTGGTGTAAAGACATGAGTTATTCAAAACAGCAGACCTTTCTTGGCTGTGGTCAGAGGCAGATGACAGAAGGGTCAATGAGAGCGATATTGCTGGCTTTGATGTTGAAGGAATGGGGCCACTAGCCAATGAATGTGGGTGGCCTCTGAAAGTTGGAAAAAGCATGGACTAGGATTTCCTAGACTCTCCAGAAAAGAATGCAGCCCTGCAGCCACCTGCAGCTTAGCCCAGTGACATCGCATGGACCTTCTGACCGGAACTGGGGGATAAGACATTTGTGTAGTTTTATGCCACCTCGTTATAGCAGCAAAAGAAAGCCAATAACATTGAGATTTGAGCCCAAATGGAAATGTAAGAAGTATTTCTAGCTAGTTTTAGAGGAGCAATTCTTAAACCCATGCATAATAGGAGACAGAGAGCCCGCCTGCCCCTCACCCCCCAGCCCCTCACCTGCCAGCCCCTGGGCCCCCAGCCCCTCACCGGCTCCGGGAGACGAGGGCTCGAACACGCTGGAGGAGTCACTGCACGTGTTTGAGACTTGTTCTGAGAGTTTCTTTTTGCTGCTTCCTTCCGACGACTTGTGTGATTTCTTCTTATTTTTCACCAAAATTTTGTACATTAAATCCATAGGGCTTGGAAGAGGAACTCCAGATTCCAGCTATTTTTTTTTTAAAGAAAGAACATTCATTAAAAACCCTCCCCTTTCCTTTCAGATTCTCTCCCCAAGCCCCCAGGACAGCTCTGGATTCCAAGAGCTTCCAGGTTATGCTTTACTCCCGATAAGATAAGATGAAGATTAAGTGTGTGCTGAGCAGGGCTGGCTCAGGGCTCTTGGCTTTTTCCCATAGCAGGCACATTATAATTACCATTCTTATTTCCCCCCAGCGAATCCACATGCATCAGATCACAGAAATACACTAGTAGCTTTGGTGTGCGAACACGAAGTGCCATGAGTGTCCACAGGACCATATAAATCCAACCACTTTGACTTAGGACAGAAAAGTAGGCCTGGCCTGGACTGTCCAAGGAGGAAGCCAGTTAGAGTGTGGCGCCTGCCAGGCAGAGTTGGGAAAGACAGGCACCGGAGAACCCAATTTTCAGTGCAGTTTCAAAACAGCAAAAGCCCCTTCCTGGCGCCAGGTGGTTTAGCTGCAGCCTCCTTGGCACGGGCAGAAGCGGAGCAGGTGGCTTCAGATTTCCTTGCCGCCCTGAGGTTCAAGCCACCCTTGTTTGCAAGGCTTACTTCCGGTGTTTCAAGCTTGCACCTCTAGTGGGGAAATCAGTTTCCCCTGTGAGGGTTATTAGATGCTGCATCAGGAGCACTTATGCAAGTCCCGAGAGGGGCTATTTTTAGAAACTCCCATAAACTCCCATTTAAGCCCGTCCTGTGTTCTTTGCTTTCAACGAGCCTGGGCACTGGTATGAAAAATCGTGTAAGGATGTGGGGAGACTTGGAGAGAGGGTGGAAGAGGGAAGAGGCTACCAGAGGCTGTTTCTGCGGCTTCCCCTCCCAAAGCAGGGGTGTTGCCATGGCTACAGGACGCCTGAGTTCTACCACCCCAAGAGGAACGTTCTGGGAAGTGAGCAGCGGCCAGCAGGGACAGGCCCAGATGTCACTGTGCCACCTGTGAGGTCCCATTTTGCCAACCCTTTTCTCTCAAAGGGGTGTGATGTGGTTCCCTGGGAGGTGAATGGAGCCCTGTCCCCTCAGATGGCCTCTGTGGGCTGCGGTTGCCTGTGGGAGCCCTGCAGTCCTGAGTGGGTCACGTCTGGCAGCGAGGAAGGGGGAGGAGGACTGTGGGCAGAGGAAGAGAATGATGTCTCCCACCCTCAGTAGCACACACTACCGGTCTCCTCCCAGTCCAAAGGTTCATTGTCAAGGACATAATCTTACCAAGAAAGGTAAACATGAAAGGCATGTAAAGAAGTACCCCCCTACCTCCATCATAAATAATACATGCGTTCCCTCAGGGGTAAACATCAAAAATGCTTACTGGGTATTTTTCCAGGGGCTCCATGAGAAGGGCATCCCCGAAGATCAGCCGACAATACTCTGCCATCTTGGCCTGCTGCTTCGGGCTGCGGGAAAGGAGAGAGAGAGAAGAGGGGAGCAAGGAGGCTTACTCCAGAGGCTGGACAGGAGGCTTACTGTGTTATTAATCACAGAAAGAGGCAATTCCCTTTCTGGATCCGTGTTTATCATGCAAAATCCCTTGTTTACTACCTGCCCTATGAGAATCTGAATACCACACTCACGGTGGTATTCTCGAATGTCCCAGAGTTAGGCACTCAGTCCCTTTTGTTTAATTTCCTGATTCCAAGTCAAATGCAAGACACTTGGGGGTGGAATTTGTTCATGATTTCATGTGAATTCTTGGGTGAAATTTGTTAAACCAACAGAGAAACCTAGACTGCAAAGGAGGTTTATAAGGAGGTAAGGGAGGAGAGGGAGGAAAGGAGAGATTTGGACAGAGAGGAAGGAGACAGGGAGAGAGGGAAAGAGAGAGAGGGAGAGAGGGAAAGAGGGAGAGAGAGAGAATATATCTCAAAATGTAGAAGAAAGGACAGATGGGCAGAAGCCTTGGGGAGAGATCCTAGGAAAGACAAAGCAGCAGGCACCTTGGAGAAAGGTGTCTGCAACTCTCATGTGCATAGTAGGGAAACAAAGGTCTGTCAGCCTGACTATGTGCCTGCAGGCATCTGGTCTGATGGGAAAAGGTTGGAGACTCCAGGCTCTCAACCATTCTTGATGTGTAATGGAGAGAATAATAACTACTCCTGGAAAGGGACAACACTGCTGAGAAGATGAAGTAATGGATGCAAATGCCTTTTCAATGTTAAAGACCAGGGCAAAGGTAAGATGATTGCAGTCAGACTAGACAACTTGTGAGCCTGCGAACATAGAAACACCATTCCTATGAGAGAACATCCGTAGTCTTTCAATACTCCTGCTTCCTTTGACCTTTTGCAAAGCAATAACATTTTTCTCATTCTGTAGAATGTTAAATATCATTACAAAGGCATCCAATTCCATCGGGCTTTGTGGACCGTGATTTTGATCTACAGGCTGCCAAACTCGATTTCCAAGAGTCCTCTTTACGTGCTGCGATGTGAAGACCTTTAGCAGAACTGGGACTGAAGCAAGAAAAAGTAAGTGATAAAAAGCCTTCTTTATACAATTCCAGTTGATTTAAAATGTGATTATTTTCCTTCCCTCTTGGAAGACATGACTGTTAAGCCCGGATCATGGACTGCTTTTTCCTGGAAGGGGGGTGACTTTGGGGGTTCAAATCATATCATCATGGCCCACAGGGAAAAGCACTCCTTAGCCCCCCTTTGTAAAAAAGCATATATTTGGGGGTTCTAGTGAGTTTTCTGGGGTCCAAATATGAGCCCAAATATGGAATTGCAGGGAGAGTCAAAGAAGAGATTCACAGAACTTGCAAATCCCTACATAGCAGCCTCCCAACATCTCAACCCGCCTTCCTGGAGGCATATGACTGCATGGGACTGCATGGCCAGGCAGCCCTGAGCATACACTGTGGCATTCCTCTGCAGTTACACAGAGAGGAAAACTGCCAGTCAGAGCAGCATCCTGAAAAGCACTGGGGGTGCAACGTCTGAGAAGTTGGGGAGCAAGCAGAGATGCAGCCCATCTGGCAGGCAGCCCGGGAATCCTCAGTTCAGACACTTTTGCTCAAAGGATAACTGACCCTGAGGCTCAACCAAGCCAGCCAGCTCTGTGCCTGTAGCTCAAGCACGTCCATCTGTGCGGGCCCCGCACGGTCCAGATTGCACAAAAGAAACTGTCCAAACCCTCCATTTCACAGAATGAAGCTACTAAACATCACAGAGCTTTGCTACCCAAGTGTGGTCCATGGCCCAGCAGCATAAACAGCCCTTGGAGCTGGTTAGAAATGCAGGTTCAAGGCCTTCAAGGCAGATTCTGAATCAGAATCTCTGAGGAAGCACGGCCCAAGGTCTGTGTCTGAACAAGGCTTCTAGATCATTCTAAAGCACGCTGAAGTTTAAACCAGCTATGATTGCCCTAGCCAATTTGGCTCAGTGGTTGGACCATCAGCCTGCAGACTGAAGGGTCCCGGGTTCGAGTCCTGATCAAGGACATGTACCTTGGTTGCAGACTTGATCCCCAGCAGTGGTCGAGGCATGTGTGGGAGGTAATCAATCGATGTATCTCTCTCACATCGATGTTTCTCTCTCTGTCTCCCCCTCTCCCTTCCACTCTGTCTAAAAATTGATGGTGAGGATTAATTAAAAAAAAACCAAAAAACTCAAATACTACGATTGATTAAAATAAGTGAACAGGTGCTGAAGTAGATGATATTTTTCTTGAGTTCTGGAATTTGGAGCCCCAAGTTCCTTTGATCAGAGACCTGGAGGGAAAAGGGCTTCACAGGAATGAATGCCAGGCTTTCAGGATTTCTCAGGGAACAATAGTCTCACCAGCAGAGGGAGATGTTCCAGGTGTCCCTTACAGGTGACAGGCAGATTCCTGTGCTCTGTAAAATAGTCCTCCAGGCCCAGAGAAGGGATTTTCTGGAGCACAATCTTACACCTGATTCCACTAAAGCAGTGGTTCTCAACCTTGGCTGCACATTAGAATCACCTGGGAATCTTTTTAAATCCTGATTTCTGGGCCTCATCCTCCAAAAATTCTGTTTCTTTGTTACTAATGTTGTGGCCCCATCCCATAACAAAGAAACAGAATTTCCGGAGGATGAGGCCCAGAAATCAAGATTTTAAAAAGATTCCCAGGTGATTCTAATGTGCAGCCAAGGTTGAGAACCACTGCACAAAACAGTCACCTGAAGCTGTTAAAGCTGCAGGTGGCAGGCGTAGTCTCCAGTCCCCTGACTCACTGGGCTGGGAGTGGAGGCCTGACACCTGCATTTGTAGTACGTCTGCAGGTAATTCCAAGGCAGGTGGTTAACAGGCTGCAGTGCTTAGAGCAGAGAGCTCAGGCTTCACTCAAATCACGGGAGGCCTTAAGAAAATGAGGGTTAGAAGTCAGAGTCTGGGGTGGGGCCTGAGACTGCATTTCATTCAAGCTCCCAGTGATGCCTACAGTGCTGGTCCACGGATCAACCGCACTTTGTACAGCAAAGATCTACGTCTGACCTTGACTTTCTACAAACCTGCCTCAAAATCAACAGAGAAGGAGAGGACAAGAGGTAGGTATCCAAGAAAAAAGTAAAGCGCCCTATTTGGTAACCAGGCAATTCACAAGCTCACACCTGACAGGAAACTGAAGCAGAACAGAGGGCAAACTGAATAGAAAAGGACCGTGGAAAACAAACCAGCTTTAATTGCAGGTCGGAACTGCAGAAATAGCATTGAGAGTATCGACAGTGGCTACCATGGAGATGAAGTAAGAGGAAAATATTCACATACACATTTTTGAGCTTCAGACCATCTAGACATGTTAAAATACCTGCAGTGTTTTAATAAAGTGTAGGCACCTGGCAAAGTGGTCAGTTTTCTGACCGAGAAACGTGCCTCATTTCATGGGGTCAGTCCTCTACATTGAACTAAACCAGCTCCTTCTCTGTAGATGAGGCATCGACAGTGCATGGGAATTAAAAGCCCGGGCCAAAGCTCCCACTGTCCGTGGCTGAACCATGGCTAGATGTTACTTCCTTAGATTTCAGTGTAGAATTCTTCTGTGAAAGTGCTAGCTCACAAATTAGGTGGAGCATGGGAGTGAACTAGGACTTTTCCAAGTCTTATTTCTAGAAATTTGAAGTCAGGAATGGGGGTGTGGCTCAGGAATCTGCATTTTGTGGGTTTCTGAAGGTAGCAGGTGGACCAGGAGAAGTTGCCAGCAACTGGTGGCAGATTCCCCTCTGCCATCCATGAATAGGTGACTGCAGATATTTGGAGAGAAAACCAGAACATTCTGTGAGTTTTATTTTTCCCAGTAAGTTTGCTTTGGCTCACAGGAGCTGGGACCAGAGATCTGCAGCCTGTTACCTGCAGGAGGGTAACATGGTTCACTAGAGACAGCACATAGACCTCAGACGTCTTTGGTGGCTGTGTCCCTGGGCCTCTGTGTTGAGAAGGATTCTGAGGTTACATTTAGGTTTAGTGGGAACTTGTGCTTCAGCTGATGAATGATGCCTGGCTCCCGGTTCAGCAATGAGGTGAGGTGGCCCACGTGTCAAGCAGAGGGTTTTACCAGCAAAGGGAAAGCTTATCAGATTTCTTAGGGTGCATGACAGTCCTCCCAGGAAAGGACTGTGGTTGAGCGATTTTGCTATGTGCAGCTCAAGGACAACAGGATTATGAAGCAAACAACTTCCTCCCACAACAGAAGTCAGTATCTTCGTATTTCACGGCCATTAGATTATCTCAGTGGTTGGAGATAAACAGCAGGACATCCAGGGGTTGTTTTCCTGTTTTCTTTTGTTACTCGTGAATTATTCATAAACGTTTAATAGCTAAATTTCTCATGTTTTAAACCAGAAAGAACAATATTATGGCATTATCGTTTTTGCTTTTGTGTGCAACACAGGCTTAGCTTTCATGCCCTTTGGGCTCTCCATATGACGGGTGTTAAAAGATGGCAAAAAATGTCCTGTGGTTAAGGGTACAACTACAGAAATGTGAACATTTGCAGGCAGGTGCCTTGTGGATGCTCTCATGGTCTTCATTTGATGTTTTCAAGGT